CAAACCCAAGCTTCCCCAACTCAAGACTCCAATGTCCTCAACTTTTCCCTCGGAGCTATCAGCTCTATCAAATTCCGCACGTAGCCCACTTCCTGGCTATGCCGACTTTATCATCAAACAAGAAGACTCTATCAAGACTCCCATTACCCCTCCTCTTGCATATACCGATTTCCTCAAGACTATGAACAGCCCCATCGTTACAGAGATTAAATGTTCGAGGCCAACACCTACATCTGCACCCTCATCGGAATCTTTGACCAGCAGTGAAGGGAGTGACTGTTCATGCAATTGCGATGCACATAAGTCACCAGCCACTTCTGTTCCTCCTACACCATTTAACTACCCAACATCCGCGCCATCATCTGCAATCCTGGGACGTCTTCGCATTCCAGCTTCACCAGCATCTTCATATGCTGAATCTCCCTTAAGCGCACGCTCTCCCTTTAGTGCACGAAGCGCACGTTCGCCATATGATTGGGATCTTAGAGCCAAGGGAAGATACTTTGATATCAAACCACAGAAACAAACACGGTCAAGCGTTCGTCAAGTCAGAGAAGTTGTCACTCGAACAGTCACATATACACCTCGAATGAGCCCCGCACCCAAGGGCAAGAGAAGGAAAGTCGACCATCATGTGGAGTAAATATTCTATACCAATATAGTACTCCTCATTTCGACATTCTATTTATCGCATTTCCTATATCAATACATTCCTTTAGAACTACACACATCTATATCACTACTCATTATAACATATTTCTTTTGTCACCGCCGTTCAACCAACAAAACCATCTTATATTTAACGACTTTATGGCTTCATTTCTTGATTGCGACAATAATGGCACCGTCGTGTCTTGTTTAGGGAGGAAAATGTGCGAGCTCGGCGATTATAGCCTGGAGTCTCATCTGGAGTTCCGGAGTAGACATCATTCATAGCACGGCTTTGGTGTTAACAAGCGGGCTGACTATTGCATTTCGGGGGGTTTGCTTGGACTTTGGGAAGTACAGGAGTAGGAGTGGAGGATAAGGTTTTTTTTTTCATTGAGGACGGGACTTAATTGCTGGCTGTTGGCGTATAATTTTGTATATCGGCGTTTCACGGGCATGTCTGAGTGAATGGATACTTTCTAGGTGCTGAGAAGGAGGAAGCTTTGGAGAGGGGAAGAATCTGAGATCAGGGGAAGAGGAGGAGTGATGAGATGAAACTATAGTGGAGTGTTCCGTATAAGTTATCCAATGAATACAAAAAAAAACAATATGATATCACACTACACTACTACAGACTATTATTTCCGTGAATAAATCACCTCCAAGTTCAAATGATTATGCAATTTACTACTTACTTCCGACCTCCACTCCATCCTTCATCTTGATCTAAATTCATGATCTACCGGACCGCATGCTCATCGTAAATACAACTCCCGAAGGTCACTTTTTCTTACGTGTGAATAATAACGTACACATCTATCAATAACATCAATATCAATTCTAACAATAATCACACTTTTAAGCTCTTACTATCCAATTTCTTCGCACATGCAGTCAGAAATTTTCAACGTTCATCGCATCAATTAATCACGCAGCACGCATAATCACATCACCGAGACCCATCACATCAAGAGATAATCAGTCAATCACTCCCCGCCGTGCATTCGCCGCAATAGATAGATATCACATCCCAAAAACCAAGTACCGATGTGATTCCCACAGCGTAAATGCACCCCGTGAATCCACTCAGTACCGGTGATATATGTAAGTATGTATGTATGTGACATGTTTCTCGGAAATATTTCATACTTTTCGCAGAATAGGGAACATGGCTGCATGAATGAATTAAGCTATATTTCGTATATCACCAGCCGTCCAAGCCACAAAGTGACGAAGATGAAGCGTGTCACGCTTGCTTGGAAAGGCTCCATTAAAAGAAGACTTGCATGGCTGATTAAGGTGCTATCGACAACTAACTTCCTCCCTAGACTGTAAGCTACCTAGGTACACAATAGAAGCAGTGTAATAAGCACATGGAACGTTGAGAAATCCCTACGGAATGCACAACCCGATTTGTAGGCTGGTCGGCTTCGAGGTAGGGGGAAAATAAGCATAATCTTCCTTCACAGACTCCTCGGTGAGTCCCTAGCTATTATTGTCGTGGAAGGAAATACACATCGATGGCTTTGTGGCATTCGTGTACTCCTCCCTCCATAGCTGACGTTCTGGAACTGAGGGGCATGTTCAGAGGAGGTTAAATTTACCAAAATTAGATAATCGTGTCTCACTGTACTGTATGACATGCCTCCCATACGGGTATCATCCATCATATGCGGCACGCACAAAGGTTTCTATTTTGAATACTCGATGGATGAGCGCAAAACCAAACAAACGGCATTGAGGGAGAACCGCACAAAGCAGCATCGACCCACTAACGGGAAGCGGGAAAAGACCGTCCGACTTGCTCGTGGCATCTTCCCAACTCGGATAAGCTATTGGATACACAAGAAGGGAAATTGGAAGAACGATGCCAAAAGACAGGGTTCTAAGCGCCGCCAGATCGGAGATTTTAGATGAATGGGGAACCTCTGCATGGATGATTGGAGGGAGACAGGGACAGGGAACGGATAAGGGTGTGATGTGTGGGTCTGTGGCATGCTTTTACGAGTGGGTGCTGTGCTTATTGATTGGTGCTGGGGCAATGGGGAATGGCCTTAAGCGCTGAGGAAGAAAATATGTGGAGTTTTTGGCGGGGGACTGGATGCTTGATGTACGAAGGGAGGGTGGTGATTGGATGAGAAGTGAGAATTGGGAAACCAGGGGAGTTGGGGGGGATGGATGGAGGGGTTTGGATTTCTTACGGGGGCAAAGGAAGGGGAGTTAGGAGAGACGAGGATGTGCTTTTGGGCGAGAAATTGTTCTTCGTATTATGTGTGGATTGGAGATGTTCATTATTTCATTATTACCATCGTCGTGTACTTTGGTATGGGATTCATTTGATGAGGTCCGGAAATACCGTCAACAGGAAGGAGGTTGTTGGATGGGATCAATGAATGTTTACTGTATTATTCCTTGCAATACAACACTTTTGGAGGAATACTGAAATTGTCTGGAAACATCGGAGTAGCCGTATGGCAGTGTTAAGTCAATGGTCATCTGCAGTCTCATGAAGTTGGTCACTGAGGCACAGAATATTGAATGAGGAAGAAACTCCATGGCTTGAGATAAGACCTAATATTACTATTTTGCAATCGTGAATTAACGCAAGACACGGATGCATACCAATTATGGCCACGGAAAAGAGCCTCAAAATACTTGGGATTCGGATGCCTTGAGGCGTGATGGCTTACATCGTATTGTACATTCGTCAGTATATTTGTCCGAGAGAGCCTTGGAGTCTTGGGGACATTGGCACTCACTCGGGAGCCTTGCTTGCGTCGTAATTGCTTACATCACATTTTGTCTAAGTATTCGTTAGGACATTCGTCACGTCTTTCCAAAGTTCAGAATGATGATCTAATTCTTTCCCTTCTGCCAAGCGGATCAGATAATGAGATATTAGAGCATCTAGTTTCGAACTAAAAATCCAAATGTGGGGATATATCATACTGAACAGATATAGTGTATTAGAGGCGAAAGCCTATCCAATGTCCCATCGAATGAAATCAGGATTCTCGGTTCTCCACAACCTCTAAGAATCTCACGTAGGTTACACTGAAACAGACCCTCGAAAAAATATTAGGTATGGTATCGGAAATCAACATCACCATCGATCCATCTGGTCTAATATTGGCTCACTCCGTGAACCGGATCCACAATAAAACTCCTAGTCGTACCGTCAACCGTTACCTCTTCACTGCCACTGCCGATATTGTGAATTTGTGACTCGATCACATCACAATCGGATCCGCCCGGCCTCGCCGAAGCACAATTTGCACAAATAACATATATCACAAGATCGGCGGGAAAGTTACGTGGTTCCTCGCACCAAGGTTCCCTCCAGGAAAGAATCCCGTGATTCACATTGGAAAAGACGTAGGATGTCGGAGCTGGTGGAGCTCTGCACGGAAAACAGAGGCATGAAAGAGGTAAATCCGAGAAGACAAGTTGCAAACATGTTCCGGTAGTTGGTTCCCCGTGCCTCTAACGCATTTGAGCTCGTTTCGACTTCACTCGGGACCGCGTCAGGGTTTGGATACTCGGCGATCCGAAGAAGGATGCGAGTGTACTGAGAATGGGTGCTGACATTTGGGATGGTCGCGTATGATGCGGCCACCTTCTCCATTTCACTGCATATGTCATTCCTTTCACAGCAGCAAGGAAGAAATTTTCGTTATCAACACGAGGATGCTTTTTTCAAGCACTTGCTTCAATTGCTTTCAGAAAACTTGGCTCGGCTTATTACATGAACCTTCGAGTGGTTTTTCATCAGGAAAGCTCTACTTGATACTCCAGCTCGAAAATTACACGCAGTTTTCGCCCAAGCCAACCCGGCCATCAAAATTTCCTGGGCCTTACAGGCCCCCACCCTGAAAGCTTGACCATCTGCGGGGGTAAGCTCCCAAGCAAATTGCCAATGCTCGTGCGCGGCGGCTCAAAAGATTAGCAAATCTCAGGTGTCATGGCTGTCCGACTCCACTTCCAGCCTCACGGTTCGTTGGAAGGATCAAAGATACAGAAATTTTATGGGAATCCCAGCCTTGCGTGCAAGGCCATCCATCAATACTCTAGCGACGTTTGGGTTCGAAGGATTCGAAGCTTTGGTTGGAAATGGAAGCGAAATACGTTATAGATTAGAGCCAAGAAGTTTCTAGAGCCTGATCTTCGAGGGTATTTGACTCGGGTTCCTTCCCGGAGGATCTGTCTCGCCAGTTCCGAACCCTTTGATATTGACTGTGGACTCGTTTGGTAGGCAGCAGATGCGAAACCGTTGTAGAAACTGTATTCTGGAACATTAGTATGCTTCAGAACTTTATTCAAGCGTGGAAGTGGATGTTTTTCAGACAATCATCATGGGTTTTGACAGCCGCGAGATTGCTACATGCGAGCGTCTTGTTGGTACAGGGCTCTACGAGCGGCCACGTCTTACTCGCATGTTGATATTCCAGAATACAGATGCAGCAAGTGCGCTCTATGAGACATTCCCTATCAAAGCAGCACCAAAAGGTCTCTTGGTCCAGATAACAGTACTGCCTGAAGCGCATTGATCAAACTCCGGTATCGAGTGCATCAAATACCTGGCTATAGACCTGCAAACTCGCGGGCCTAAAAATGGGTGCTTGTAAGGAAAATTTAGATCTGCGTCCACTGACACGCAAACATCATCCATATTCATTACGACATGTATTTCTCACTTCCATATACGTCTGTCTGATGCTAAAAAAAGAACATGAAAACATGCTGCCTTTACTTTGGCAGAAATCGTGGAAATGACGATATTGAACTACGTAGTTGCTTTGTGACCTTGGCTCTCATATCGAGCCTGCAAGTGCGAGTCGCATATGCGCATCTGCGCTGGCGACGATAATTAATAAGATCTCAAGAGTCCGTTCACCTGCTAGGTAGAGAATGGCATACAAAATAATGCAACATTGTATGCAATGTCAATGTGTCTGTTATCATTATGAGTCTCAGCATAATTTCACACATACTGCACAATCAAGATTATCCTCAGCATATTTCACGTACATCTCATAACATTCAATGTCCACCTGAGCATTCATTCAATACCATATAGGCACGTGCCTAACAAGTCACCACCCCAAAAATCTCCTCCTCGCTACCCATATAATATCAAATAATCACTTCAATCTTCAAGCACCCCCACGTCTCGTATGGCGCAGCAGGTAGGGTTCGTCATTCTCGAAGAATGATGTCCGCCTCTCTACCTTGCATTGGCAGGGCTTCGTCAGTGACAACGTATATAATACCTACCTCAACGAAAGTTCTGGTAACGTAGAAAACGATTTGGCTCATTGGGATTTCAGGCGTCGCGCCTGGAGTTTTGCCATTTTGCTGGTTGCTTTGGAGGGTCTTTTGGTATTTTTTATGTGGGGCCGCTTGGTGATGTTGAGATTGGGTAGTGAATCTCTCAGAATTTTTTCAATTTTTTTGGCGCCTCTTTTGCGAAGATAGTAAAGCAAGTAAGCAAAAGTATAGTGCAATTGTTTATATTCATAATTCGTTCCTAATGAGTGAGATATCCATCCTCTACCCGCTATCATCCTTGAATACTGCTAATAACTCCCTATCAATCATGCAAACCCAAAAATTCCTCAATCCTCAACTCCCACTCCGCATAGTTCCCTAACCTCCCCCGCACTTAAAACTTCCCCAAATGATTCACACACCTATCCCCCCTACTCCTCTCCAATTGACACGCCACCCCCGTACTAACCGTATAATCCGCCCCAGTCAACGGATCAACAATCGTATGGGTCCCCAACGCACCCCTCACAGCCTTCGTGTACGCTCTGAACAAATCCGCCGCAAACTGCGTCTCCTCCTCCACATACTTCTCCAGATGAAACAGCGCGCGTCCATAACACGTGCTTGATTTAGTAATCGAACACGCGTAGGGTTTTACACAGGCAGCGACAGCCAGCTTGCGCGCCTCGTGGGAAGCGGGGAGCGAAATGGCGAGTTGCATGTGAAAACGATCGGGGAATTCGCCGCGGGCGGAACACCAGCGCAGGAAATTTCGGAAGCGGATGATGATGGGGGAGAGACCGGTGATGGAGAATTGATGGCAGGATGTGAAGAAGAGGAGGTAGAGAGTGAGTTTTTCGTGGGAGTCGATGACGGTGTGGGGGAATGTAAAGGTGTCTGTTGAGAGAAATTGAATCACGAGCTCGAATTCCGCGATGGATGTTTCGGGGAGGTGGAGTTCCTGAGATGGAGATGCGGATTCTTTGAGAGGGCCATTAAAAGCGAGGTGGAAGAATGGGGATCGTGTACAGAGGAGGTTTTTGGGTAGAATGAGAGTTTGTTTAGAGCCATTCATAGAGTTGAGCGCGATCTTGACGGTGGGCTCAGTGCGAAGATTGATTTTACTGGGAAAGGTTTGTTAGTTCGAGTGACTGTGAATCTCTGGAGAAAACATGTAGTTTATGTGTGTTCATGATATTTACCTCAAGAATTGATCTGCTGGAATCTCTCTGGAAGCTTGCTCTTCTGGATTGGTTGATCTTCTGCTGCGGGTTTCCCATGTTTCAATTTCATTTTCGTCGCTATACTCATCATTGGAGGTTTGATAATCATCATCATCATCTTCCTCGAAATGAAAGACCTCGTTGTCCATAATGCCCATTTGTTCCTGATATGAGAATCTTGGGGAATTTCCTAATATTTGTTTGTTCTGAAATAGTTGAATAGAAGTTGATTCAAAATGTTAAAAAAATTGTTTGATATAGTTCCGAAACAGGTGACCAACAAGGTATATTGATATTTTTGTTCTGAGATGGAAGCTCAATATGAGAGAGCAGGCTTTTTAAGGTTATATTTCACGCTAATTCTATGTGGCAGTATCAAAGAATAATTTGGCCAACAAGGTTCTTTTCATTTTTAATTCGGCGTCGTACGAGAATTCTAGCTAATGTGTCTCATATATGACATGCCACATAATCTTTACCCTAACTTTCTTATGTCCCAATATCAAATTCTTCCGTTGTTTCATTGCAAGTCAGAGAGCTCAAAGTGTGTTGAAGTAACAAAAATGCCCCTTTTAATAAGTTACACGATATAGCCACTCCTGTTATTCCTGCGCCTCAATCTATTGTTTGATCAATAAGAGAATTTCTTGCCATCAAGAAGATCACGCGATTCGGCGAATATGTAAGGTGTACGTTTGTCTGCCACTTCTCGATACACACGCATGAGGTCCGCCGCAAATCCGTCTAATGCGTCGAGCTCTTTTTGAAAACGGAATGCCTGGGCTTGCCCATCAGTAGGGTTGACAGACTGAAGGTAGGCTTGAATACATGAGCGAGCAAACAGCATTCGAAGTTTTTGTCCGTTCGGAAAATTGACAACCTTGTGAATGTGTCCTGCCTGAAGGTAAAGACGATCTATCACAAGGAGCTCTTTGATGTCATCCAAGATCATATCCGAGATATCAAGACTAAGTTTCTCTGCCAACTCGTAAAATTCGATCAGATTTGTCTATGTAAATTGAGAGGTTAGCATTGCCTCATCTCACATAGAGGTTCGTTATGACCTACAACTTGTTGTGACCCAGAACTAAAACCAGCAATATCCGGGCGGACAAAAGTACCAGTGTAGAGATATTGCACAACAAAATCGAATGCTAAGATTGAGCATTCGATTTTAAGTGTTTCTCGTGTGATTTGACCCAAAGTTTCAACTGTGATGGCAGTCTGGAAGTATGGCGAGGCCTGAATAAGTAATGCTTTAGGTATGAGATAGCTCTTGACCCCCAACTGGATACCAGCGGTGACGAGAACTTCAGGTCCGCGAAATAAATCGAGTCTGTTTGTGAACTCATTGGCGGGCAGTTGAGCAGCAATGTTATGAGTGGTCTTGGCTCGCTTCTGGGGTGGCGCATTGACTGTGTCGCTCTGAATTTGAGGTGAGGCTAGGAGATGTCAGTTTGTGAATTCTCAGGGCGTTTTCAAAGATCATCTTCATCATTGAACGTTTCTGGGGTTAGTCTTACCATTAGTAAACAGAGTCTCGGAAGATTGAACTTCTTGAGTGTTAGGAGTATTGCTGTCTGCTCTAGATCTAAAAGATTCGAAGTTGAGACCGACTGTGCTAGAGCCAAATAAGTTAGACCTCGCCGGCATAGCAGGTACTGATCTGGCAGGAGACATGAATGTTGAAGTGTTCATTGTAGGTGGCGCTAATATTGCTAGAGGACTTCGATTAGTGGCTGAGTTGTTAGCACTAAATTGGCTGACAGTCGAGGTAGTATTCTCTTGACTGTTGTTTTTTGCAGAATTGTATTCGGTGGGAGAACCCAACATCTTGGACGCAGAATGGTTGAAAGTTGCCATTGTATCACTCAGTTTGGTTGAGCGATTAGGAATAAAATCAGATTGAGCACTGTTTGAACGTAAAAGAGACGTCGAGCCTAATGGCCCAGTTTGGTCGTCGCGTACAATTGGTGCTTTGTTACACACCTCAGCTGTATTCAAAAGACAAGTTGGAGTGGGAAGAATTGAACTAGTACCAGAGACCGGAAGTCTCGAGTTATCCATTGTATAGACGATTTTCCAGAGAAAAATCAAAAACTTGAACTTTGATTTTGAGAGAATGGTGAATCCTCCCAAGTTCACCTTCTTCTTTCCTGAAATGTAAGAAAGACCCTTAGCGCGATTTGCAAAAGAGGAAGCGACGACCTTGATTCACTGAACGCAACACTTATTAAGCGCCTGAATATGAGCTTGAAATAATTCTGCCAACTAGAGCCTCCGGAAGATATAACATCTCACTCAGTATATAAACTCTAGTGGATAAAGTTGCTGCACTTTTGTGTTGTGAATAAATTAGAAATTATCGAATGTGTTTGTTGATTTGATCGTAGAAGAGGCAAGAACTTCAACGTACCTGATCATCAGACAAGTAAAGACGAGATAAAGTACCCAGTGATTTTAGTCTGTTCTTATGTTCATCCTTTGGCCTCGTCTCATTAACTAGGAAAGAGATATGCATAGGTATTGTATCTTTTCTGCGAACTAGGTAATACCACCAGATTTCTGCAGGGTGAAGAAGTTTCGTTCAGAACGGTATTCATACAAGATTAATAGAAAGGAGATGACCAAGATAGCAAAGGATAAATGCTTCCTGCCAATGATTCAGTTCCTTTACTGTTGACTGTCGCAGAGCTGGATGAACAATGTTTTGCCAACTGGACATTCTGGTAGAACACTTACAGTCTGAAAGCGATTATCCATGCGAGCAATCCAGCAAATAGTATCACATTCTTGCATAAATGAAGATATGCTAAAACCGCAACTAGTGATGGAATTTGGCGAATATAGGGTTGGAGAGTGTCAAATTATACATTGAGGTTGAGAGAGAAGGTCTTTAAGATCCGTTGTTCTTCCATGCTTCATGGCGAACATCTGCAATATGTTTGGAAATATCTAAAAACAACCGGCCGATCACTCGTTGGTTCTGGTTTATTGAGATCAAGATCAAAATCAATAGTCTTGGCTAGACGGGAATGAAGAGATATCACGGTCTGAAAGAAAAGAATTGACGATGAAGGATTGTATTGTAATTACCAACTAATCAAAATGTGAATACCATTCGCCAATGCCCCCTCCCAATTGCGATAGCCGAATAATCCGACAACCGGGAGTTGAATACTTCATGCCCAAACTTACGATGATCTGAGAAAAAATCTCACATAAGAGAACTCACCCATGGGGCATATCCGTATACATGCAGGCGGCTTGCCAAGCTCCTGTCTAGTACTGTATGGCTCTCATTCTCTGTCCTGTCAAAGGATCCTGATAGCATTCCAGTCCTTGACGATCCCCCAACTTTCCATGGACCAATGTTTCACCTAATGCTTTCACCACCTCGATTGCTAACCCGTCGATAGTATCAAAAGCCGCCTTTACATTTAACCACTCAGGACCGGGTGGTAACAAGGGTGGCATGAATCTAAGGATAGTTGAGGTGTAATCGTACGGAGGACCTTTCATACGATATTCGTAGACAAGATATGGTCGTACGCATGCTTTTCCAAATAGACGTTGCGCCTCATGTCCAATTGGTAGTTGGTATACAGATTCTAGAATATCATATGCCCATGCGCCGTTGTGCATGCACGTATGATGCCAGAGATTGGCAAGCATCGTGCGTAAGTTCATTTCAACTTTTTCGTATGGGCCAGCAACGTCAAATTTGTCCGCAATGGTGTAGAACTTGACAATCGTGTCGATGCCTTTACGGCCAGGAAAACAGGGAACTTTTTTGCAATAGATCCATTCTAGAAGTAACTCAAACTCTTCGGTTGTTTCTTCTGGAAGCTCAACATGCTTTTCGATACTTTCCTTGAAGGGTCCGTTGAGAGCGCGATCAAAGAATTTGGAGTGGTGGCATAGGAGGGCTTGTGGAACAATGTATTTTGTAGATTTTTCTGCTGGCCCCACAATGATAGTCGCAGTTGGACCTTCGTACAAGTTTTTTTCACTACAACGATTAGCTTATGACGATCAATAGTAGGTAGTAGTAGACCTACGTCTCAGAAGCTGTTGTTTTTGACTCTAACATAAACATGAGTATCTTCGACTTCTCATTTTTCAATGGATTTTCCAATGAAGTCTCCAGTGGAGTTTCCATCTTTGAAGGTGTGATAGTGATTTTTTGCTATCAAAACTGGGTAGGTCTTGTGTTGGGAAGCCAAATTGGAGGTGGCACTAAGCTTTTATGATGAAGGTGATGACAGTTCTGAAATGAGAGGTAATAGTTGAAGAACTTTATATATTAGAAGGCTAAAAAGATGAAGCCGTATATATTCAATGAAGTAGATCACGAGCATGAGAATATTGGAAACGGTGTGAAGGATAGATGAAACAAACGTTTCAAATCATTTTGACACGACAACTTTTACAATTGAACGACCAGAATCTTCTGGTCATTAGGACGAACGTTTTAGTAAAGGTCCAGACAGTCACAACATACAGCGCAACTGACCACTTTAGTGCGTACCTCCTATTTAGCGTCATAATTCCCCTTGGTCGATCTTGTCGTTGAATTCAATACGAGCAGCAGTACCACAATAGATCCACTGTAGACAAGTATAGCACCTATAGTGTTGCGAAGACACAGGTGAATTTTGTGATCATATACTTCCTCAGTAGAGTTCTCTGAAATGTCGACAGAAGCTCTGGTAAGTGGCCCAGTGGCACTTCTGCTCACAATGTCAACAATTTTGAAGCAAACTAAACCCATATCCTGCGAGAAATCGAGTGGATTACAAAATCAAGATGCTATCACAAAAGACTCATGGCATAAACCTAACTCACAGCTCTACTCCAAGGCTGAAGTCCCAAGTAAAATCAACGTGTAATAAAATGCAACTAAGCCATAATGAACAACGGATATAGGATATCTCAAACTATATCCACTCAAGTATCACCCGACTTCGCCTTCTTCACAGACTGTCCAACCTTATACATACTACCAGTATCGAATCTCAATTCCGTCAACGGACACCACATCGTCGACGTCGAATATCCCTCACCGTCCACTTTACCCATCGAAAGACTACTCAACGATCCACTAACCAATCTCAGAACATCCAATTCAAGACCTTCAATTTCTTTGAATAACTTCTTAAACTCCTTGGCTTTCGTTGCATCAGTATTGGAGCATAATAAGTGCTTTACATACGGCTTGAGCAAAAAGCTCGCCAGGAGCTCTCGGATCCATCTATCAAGGGGATATGCAAATGCATCTTTCAGTATTTCCTTTAACGCGGGGCTTATGACAGGAGACTTGTCGTCCTCATCCTCGTCGTCCTCATCCTCGTCGTCCTCATCCTCGTCGTCTTCGTCATATTCTTTTTCCGATGCGGCGGCAAGTTCAGCTTTAAGGTTTCTTTCTACATTCGAGTAAGAGCCCTTGAGTTCTAAGGCCTTTGCAATCTTGAAAAATTGAATATACAATCGGATTGCATCAAAAGGTTTAGGTTTCGCGATATCGATGATGACGTTGCCAGTATACATCCACTGAATTGCCATATCGAAAGTCTCGGTATCCCACTCATTCAAGTCCATTACCGCATTATTGTGGTCTTGACCATTGGCATCGACGGAGTCTCCGTCACTTTTATTTCGAAACAACCTGAGTTTCTCCTCAGAGACTTTCGAATAATAGCATAGAACGGTGCGAGGCACTACTCGTTCTTTATTGCCGGTCTCATCTTTGGAAGGCCCTAAAATGACGCGGACCATGTCTCCGCCATGGAAAAGCGCGCTTCTTCTGCACAAGATTAGCAAGATAATGCTGGGACAGAAATCGTGTACAACTTACTCATAGAATTCACAAGCTGGTACTTCAAATGGTGCCTTGCAAACAACACTGGAGTTTGTATTTAAGACCATGATGCCAATGTTCGAGGAAGCTTTGGTCATGATATCTCGAGACAAACAATGGGAATAACAAATGGCGAGTTTGATGCGCTCTGAGGTCAAGTTAGTCAGTGGTCATCTAACCCCACGTCTCTCAAATGAAAGATGTGGTGGGAATACAATGAATAGCATACATACTGATCTCTGTGATTGTATTGTATCGGCAGGAATTGGTACAAAAGTTCGATCTTATTGTTACGTATGACATTGGGAGGAGAGAAGATAATGGACTGGCGGTTGTATGTGACAAATTCTTCGGCAATAGAATGCTGTGATTCTAAATATTCAATCTTTGATATCGATTCATGATTCGATTGTTCGGATGAATCGAAAAAAAAAACAGAACGTGAACTATCATAGAAGACGATAGCCCTGAGAAAGCGCAAGCATCTTACAAGGCCTGGCCAGGCGCTCTTTTCATGAATTTCTTATTGTACCATGGTATATCATAACTTAGACCACTACCCTCGGCGATACGAATAGGAAAGTTTCGGCACTAACGTTATCAATCAGACATGCATTCGGAGGTTCACACGAAATGAGTTACGCCTAAAATTCAAATTAATTTGTATGAAGGGAAATTCCATTCCAGTACTCTATTGAAAGGGGCTCGCGCCCGATATCTATTATAGCAAGGCTCTGCCATCAGGGATGGGAAGATCAGACTAATCAAACTCCATGTAGCCGGAGATTTCCGACGTATATAACAGTGCTGAACTGAGTATCCAAAATGACAACTCAAGCCAGCGAATGTTCGATGAGCTTCTTATAACCGCTCACAGCCTCTTCGAGATCGGAGATCTTCAGATGCTCGTGATCAGAATGAGCGACCAAGATATCTCCCGGCCCATACAAATACCTCTTATGATCTCCTTCCAAATTTGGCACATCCGTACCGTAGTTGACTGTGATGGTTTCAAATCCTTCCACATCACTATCGCAATGGACTGGTCCATAGCCCTGAGTGAATTCAACATCCAAATCTTGCCCTGTCTTTTCTATCACATCTAGAACCGATTTTCTTAATTCCTCTGGCGTACCAGCAGCAATTCTAATAGCGATTTTGGCCATCGCGTCTTCCGCAATAACATTTGCGGCGACACCTCCATCAACTCTTCCGATATTGAGCGTGGTATTTCCATACTTCTCGCTCCACGGTAAATCCATTCTTCCTAACTCATACAGGGCAGGAATCAACATCGCATTGGCATTTCTTCCCAACGAAGGGTATCCCGAATGTCCAGCCTTTCCCTTCGCAGTAATACGTAGGCTCATTATCCCCTTGTGTCCAGCCGCCAATTTCAGTTCCGTAGGTTCGCCAAAAATAACAGTTTCCCAAGAAAGTCCCAGATTGTTAGCCTTCTTCATACCAGCCCCCAATGTTTCCTCGCCCACCACATACAAAAGCGCAACATCACCTTCGTGAATCTTGCCGGCCGCAATAAGGTCTTGGTACGCAGTAATTTGCGCCGCAACACTCGCCTTCGCATCCACACTTCCTCTGCCCCATATTTCGTCACCTCTTCTTTCGTAAGGCCAGAAAGGTGGCACGGTATCGATATGCGAAGTTACCAATGTTCTTGTTTGTCTTTTATTTCCAATATATGCTAGCACATTCTGACGCTTCTTCCCCGACGACGATGACGATTCGACCAGTTCAACTTCTTGTATCTCCACCGTAAGATTTTGTTCCTTCAGATAAGAAATTAGCAATGCGCCAACATCATGTTCATTTCCTGTAATGGATCCAATCTCGACAAGGGATTTGTGGAGTTCGAGGAGGCTCAATGAGTCCGAGGACGATTCATCGATAATTGGAATCTGCGAATCAAACGATTGAGCCGCATTTATCAGGAGAAGGAGCGGGGAAAAATTGAGAAGCCTCATATTGAATGTGGTTGTGTTTTAATGAGGTTGAAAGAGCTACGGTAAAGAGCTCAAAGCTCATAGCTTCGGCGAATGACGTTACGCGATCGAAAGCTCGGGTGTCTTGCCGATAAAAAGCCGCGTGATGGAGTTTCAGGGGATTTACCAAAGGAAAAAAAGTTCCGAAGATAAGCTTGAAGATAGCTACACGTCTACAGCGACCATGATACATTCAAGCCACTCTCTACTTGATACATTTATCAAAGATAAGAACTTAGGTGGTATCATTATAAAAGTACTACAGAAACACCCAGCCAAGAATTACAACGCCGTTATTATGCCGCTATCTTAACACCTTCAAAAGCATCTATTAGACTTTCCGGCGGACCTTCATCCATTGCCATCTTTTCTCCAAATTGGGGACTATCTTCCCTTACTGTGAAACTGTATCCATGCACCCAATATGTCCTAGAGGGAACTAATGCAGCTTTCCTTAGCTCTTCTATGTTCTTCTTAGCATCCACACTGATACACAATGCGGAGTCGAGTTCCTTAATGCCAGGTTCTTTCAGTACTGCTAGAGCAGCAAGACCCAGATACGAGTGATAGATATCTGGTGGATCACCTGGCGTTTTTCCAAAACCGCCAATCATATGCTGTGTTTTCTCAAACAGGAATCGTCGAGATCCATCTTTGTTGATAACGTCAGAGCGACCTAGCATGCTTAAGGAACCTCCAACCCAAAAACAATAACAAGTATCAACCCGCTTATTGCACCGCCCATTGAAGCCGACGAACGTAGAGTCGACATCCGGTACAAAGTGATGGTCCGATGTCGCTTCATGATGCTCATCTTCATCTTCTTCCTCTTCATCATTATACGAAGTCTGCCTCAATGCCAGCCATCTAATAGTTTCCGGCAAGTTTGTAAGACCAGGTAAAGTGGACTTTGAATTTGGTGATTCGGAAGATTGCGCAGAGGGGTGTTTTGGGAGTCGATCGAGAAGGGACAAGGACGCAATAGCACAATAGGTATACCCAGCGTGCGCCTCATGCTGCGCACTCTCTGAAATCCCTCCATCATATGTTTGCCCAGCTCTTAAATGTCCCACCAATCTCTCCACGTCAATATCATCCTCTCCCCTCTCCTCATGCGCATCTCCAGTCAACATCCATCGAAGCGCTGTAGCCACATAGCAATACCTCATATCTGTCCCACCTTGTATTTTCCCATCTTCCGTAACAAATTCCCCAAAACTTCCATCTTCCCTCTGCAATCGTTTCAGCCATCGCAAACACTCTTTCCTTTTCACGTCCTTCAATCCCCCCACGAAACCTAAACTCAAGACCGCAAAAAAAGTCGCAGGTAAATTTGCAGGATCAATATCTCGTTTCCCATTCCCTACATCTGCATAGTAAACATCAGGAAACCTATGGTTAGTAGAACCACAAAACCCTCCAAACGGATGTTGGCACTTCAGTATCCAAGCTCGTATAGCTCTGCGTTGCGACTCTGGAAATGTAGATGCGCCAACATTAAGTAAATCGAGCGCGGAAAGGATGAAGAAGCCAAGAGTCATGCGCGAGGAATCTGTACTGGTATATACAGTAGGCAATAGAGAACGTAGACATCTCTGCCAATACTTGATATGTTTTGCGACCTCCAATTTAGCTTCTGCCATTTTGACAATCTTGCTGGATGGCAAACAAGCTCAAAATTGTCTATCCCTCATCTGATACTTTCAGGGGGTCACAGTGCAAGACATGGATGTAGCTCGGGATATTCACATAGTGCGTTCGTGGTGACACAGGCCCCTTCCGAAGAATGAATTTTGGTTATTGCTGACCAAGCAAAAGTTGATCAAAAATGCCAAGATTTTCTAGATTATCACAAAAGAAATCCCTTTAGAAAACACTTTCATTTATATGTGATACAGCAGCTACAAAACCTCATGATACATGATTATATTAGTATATTTAAGCAATTGCCAGCTTTTGAATCACTCAGATCAGAGTTTGAATAAGAATATTGATTAAATAATTAACAATCGAATTTTGAAACGGTACACGATTTTGGTAAGCATATAATTCCACCCAGCTCAAGCTTCCCTAAAACCTCACAAATACTTATTTATAGGCATTACCCCTGTTTCGGAATCGGAATAATACCAACGCCTAAATAAAGCTTTCAGGGTAGCATCTAGCCTTGTAGCTCTAAAGAATAGATAGATATGATCTTTCGACCAAAAATATTCAGCTCATCCAAAGTCACTCTTTCCACCTCATTCCCCCTTTCCATTCATCTCTACACAGCAACATATTTTCAACATGGGGATTATTTCCGGCGCAACAATCATTACCTCTCTCTCCCTCCTCCACATTACTCTCGCATTCTTTTTCATCACAAATCCGGTGACGATTGCTGAGCAGTCGCTGGTCTTCATCCTGGGTGAATCGATGGGCTTGGTGAGTTTTTCTCAGTTCCCACATCTGCGATGTCAAGATGTCTATCTGTGTATCTAATGTATACTAACCTATCTATACAACAGCCCCACGAACGCTCCTTCGACCGCCAATCCGCACCAATATCCTTTCTCGGAATAGTATTCCTCTTCCTCGGTATCACGGATCTAGTAGCTATATCCATGCCAGAAGAAGTATCGCAATACCACTGGGGAACCCAAGGTTTGTCCAACCCCTCCTTCATCCATGCCGAAATTCAAAACTGACTCTCCATAGCACCGATCCGATTTTCCTTCTCTGCGGCACTAGCACTCTATTCCTGGCTTTTCTCGTCCGCCTCCCCTATTTTCACATCCCGCAATTCCTATTATGCTGGTGGTTGGGGTGAGGGTCTTAAGAATCGTATTATTTTTACATGGGGATTTATTGAAATGATGGCTTGGTTTTGGGTTTTTGTTACTTTGAGAGAGGAGAGACAGCAGCTTGCTCTCAAGCAAGCGCAAAAGAAGGCTGCAGAGGAAGATATGATGTGACGAATTTGTTATGTTTATCTGAGGGTAAAACATTTCTCATGCTTATATTTAGGTGGGTTAAACATAATATCACATGGATATGAACATCTATTTGAGGAAATATCTGAAATATGCATGAATACTATATAGGAGGTGAGAGACTCGTGGGAAGATGAGTTATTATGATGCCTTTCTATATCTCACCGAAGTGATAATTTACTGCACATTGGACGCCTAACATCTATCTGCATCCTCGTCCATTTTAGAACTTTCCCCTTACACCTTCAACAAACCCAGTCCAGTAACCGAATCTCTCCACCCCTCCACCATACCTCCAGCCCACTCTTCCATGAAATTCTCTCCCGCTAAACTTCTCAACTGCTCCCCTGACTCTCCCACCTCCATGCTTTCCAACACCCGATCAATCCACCCACTTTCATCCATTCCACTCTTAATCTCCTTCGATTTTTGAATTACTGCTTCCATTACCGATTTTGCGCTTTCCGCCAAAGTCTTACACTGTTCTATCTGAAACTTATGAGCCTTAACATCTTTAAGCGCGAGGAACTTCGTAGCACTAATGATGACAGATGCAAGATCATAGGCTGTGTAGAGTGTATGAAGAGTATTCCATAGAGCTGGGGTTACATTTTTACCCTCTCTGATAAAAGAGAGATGTTGTTCTAATTTTGCACACAGAGATTTATTGGAGGTTTCGAGCGAGGTTTGGAAATCTGCAGCTGATGATGCGGTAGGGTCGCAGGCTTTCGTTATGATGGACGCGAGATTGCTGTATGCTTCGAGTGCTGAGGCTTCAGATCGTGTTAGGAAGGATTCGTCTGGGTTGGTTTCGATCAACTCTGCTTGTTTTTGAAGTTCGGTAGAGATCTGGAGAATGTTCTCTTTGAGGGAGGTAAGATTGATTGAGGTGGATGTGGCATCGGTGGTTGTCATGGAGATTAATTTCTCGACGAGTAAGTCTGCGCGGCTTCGGTTGCTCTGGATAGAATTAGTAGGGTGCAGGCGGTATTTTGAAACAAACTTACAGATGGACCAGGTGCAAACCGGGTAGACTTTTCAAGTCCTGTTCCCAAAGTAGACTCATAATCAGGGAATGAAGTGTAGTCATTGGAATCCGAAAATTTATTCAACAATTCTGGGTTTTTAGCTAGTCGTATGTTAGACATATCTTGGTTGTATCAAACTAATAGGGTAAACTTACGAAGAATGCTAAGAATATCCGAAGGCGCAGTCTGCTTCAAGAGCCGCGATATCTTTGTGGTCTCAACAGCAGAAGACACTGCTGATAATGTGTTGTTGATGATTTCAGAAAACTCTTGAAATTGGAATATTGTGTTGTAGCTTCCATGCTCAAATGCTTTCCAGGTGTTATTCGAAACTTGGTGACGACAATTTCCGTACATCTTTCTTTGTTTTTTAAGGTGGTCTACAGGCTTGAGATTTTCAGAAGATCCATCTGGGGCAGAAGGGAATGGATGTGGGTGCAGGGATGAAATCCTATCCAATATACTGTACCCTAGAGTATCAAGCTGTATCTGCTTCAAACTCAGGTGGAGGTATGCTTTCATAGCTTGTTGGCCGCAGCCAAGAGAAGAATATATTCTGACTAGGATGAGTGAGAAATCGGAGTTCGATTTAGACTGTGACCAGCCATATTCGAGACATGCAGCTGCTTGCAAGGCATACGCGATTCGTTTGCTTTTCAGAGATCCTTCAACATCACTGGAGTCTGAGAGTGCAAGTTTCATCAAGCACATTGCTGCTAATGTACAGAAATCATCGGCAGGGTGTCTGTCTGTAGGGAGAAGGGACTTGGAAATTTTCCCGTTGTCATTCATTGCAGATGTGTAAGCGGCAATAGAATCTTTGGAGAGTTGCTCGAGGCAGACCTCACAGTACACCCCACAAGGATTGGAGCAGTACGTGCAAGTGAATGATCGTTCACTAGTTTTATGTAGAGGGCTCGACCGACGTTCGTATTCGGAGATACTACTCACGATGAGGTGAGTCAATTTGTGTAAATTGACACATCTAGTCATATCGTTTGCATTCTCGAACTGTATCAGAGGTTAGAAAATCATAAGCAGATTGAGGTTTTAGTGCGTAGCTTACTTCGTTCTTAGTAACCGACAGGGCCGTGAATTGAGAATCCAAATCGTCCTTCTTCGCCTTTTTACCAAACTGAATTCCATTCCTGAGAATATGGAGCAGTTTGTTGCGTTCCTCACTCTGTGATAGCTCTACGTAAGGCCTGAGATCGCTGAAAGCTGTGGTAGCGTCGCCAAATTCTTGCAAATACTTGACGATTGCAGCCACCCGAGGGTACTTCTCTACATCTGATCCCGATGGCTCAGCAGCGAATGGTGTAGAAGAACTCTTAAAGGTAAACTCAAGCCATGCTAAAGATGCATTTCTTCTCCATGTTTTGTCAATTCCAGAAGTGGGGTCCAGATGCGCTGCAATTTCTGTCGAGACACTATCAATAGCACTGGTTTTGTAAGTTTTTGTTCTATATCCCGATGTCACAGTACTTACGAGGGGGTTTGCAAAGAAAGAGCAGAGTGTAGGTACGCTTGCCACACTGCCCAGTCAGCCATTCTAGCCTCGACGATCTGTCCGCGTTCATCCTTTGTGCGTGAACGTTTAAGAAGACCGCCGGTTGTCTCAAAAAGTTCTTGCCAGTGCTCAGATGTTTCCATAAGCTCTAATTTATTTCTCCATAATTCCCAATCGCCCTTGGCAACTATCGACTCGGGTCCAAGAGAAGGCTCGTTTAAATAATTCAATCGATCCTCCAATTTGCCATGTGCAGCAGTAATCCGTTGTAAAAGTAACAGCTCCTGCGGTGTGTGTATCGCACGTGTTGGAAGAGGCTTCGACTTCTGAAATCACCGGGTTAATATCAGTAATCTTGGACGAGACATGAACACATACATCTGCTTGTATTGTAGCTGTAGCAAGCTTACTAATCTGTCCATAAGCCAATCGGCCCCATAGGTTTCTCTTTTCGATAGGAAGGTCGCTCGAAATCTGGTAACGAGTAAGCAAATTGCTTCAGAAGATGTTTCTCATCCGATACAGTTACTTACAGATCTAAGGAATAAAGAGGAGATATTCCAGAAAACGTATTGATGTTTACCTGGGAATGTCTTTTCAAGACTACTCGCAATCTACCAAGTATTTGTTAGTATCCCATGATGAAATCAGTGAGAGCTTGAGATACCTGTTGAGCATGTTCCCAGTCGCGTTCCGACAAACAGGCCTTGAACGATTTCAACCCAGAATCTTCTTGTTTGGGGTATGCTTTGACACTTTGCCATCGCAACTCACCAATCGTCCTCGCCCAAATTGATCCAGCTTCTGGAATGGCGTTGACCAAAGCATCATCATAGAGATCTATGTCCTCCTGATCCGTAATGACCACTTTCTTGGCGACCAAATCTTCCAGATGGGGGAGTACGACATCCCTCTCCGACTGAGTAGACGAACGTGATTTAATATAAATCTTGAATGCCTGGAAGCCTGCTTAGCTATATTCGTGAGATGGAAGAATTCCTCAGTCACGTGAACGAGTGATATTTAGTAGTGATATTTCACCCTTCACACATACCTCCAAATGAGGTGTCCGCTTTTTGGCCAACCTCTTGTCAACTAACTTCAGCGCTTGCTTAAAATTGCCGGCTTCGACAGCATTCCAAATGGGGACATCTTGACGATCATTGAGTAACTTATCAGCCATCATTCAAATGTTACCAGGTATGGATTGAGAAAGGGATATGCCGAATGTGAGAGATAGGTAGCTAATTAAAATGTCTTTATCTTCAAGTTCGTGGATTAGATATATGCAGGTGTTGTGGCTTGTCATCAGGATGCCGCACTGGAAACAATCAGAGTCTTCAACAAGTCAAATCAATATTGGGTGAATATAATTTTTTTCAAGTTGCATCATTGGATTTGACTAGCGAGGAAAGGGAAGAACACCAAATTTGTTAGCTCTCTCCTATGCCATCCATAGTCTTATAAATTATATCGACACACGACGAAAACATGAACCAAAGTGCAAACAATGTAAGGATAAAAGTAGGAAGATATGTATTTGGGATGTCGTTTCATTATATGTTTTGTGGTATTGAATCAAGATTCATGTGCTGCATTACATATCTGGGTAGCTAGTTATTGGCGCAAGTCTTGAAACCCTGAAAGAGATGGATATCAGTCGCCGTACATAGGTATTCCGCATACATTAGATTGTATGCTTTGATACGTTTCCTTTAATCAACACAGAGTCCATTGTGAACACCAACGAATTGAGCAACCATTTTTCCATTTTGTTTTACTTTGAGCTATCGGATGAGGCCCTTGTCAATAACTTTGTCTTGAATACCTTGCCTCCCTACAAACTGATATATCACATTTCTATCATACACAATCCGTTTTCTCATGAAGAGAACCACCCCGCATTCCTTTTGGCTTCCTTTCGTTGCTCGATCTAGAATCATATCAGTATGTGGTTAGCTGACCACAATAGAAGGATTGATGCATACCCATTGCTTCTTGCAGTCTCGATATGCTCTGTAAATCATTAGTCCACAATCCTGATGTGTGAAAGGTCTAAAAGCTGTAATAACCCCCCCCCCCAAGAGTCAATTTATCGTTTGCTGCTATTCTTTGCTGTCTACTGTTCATTGGGCATTGGGTACCAAGGGTCCACATAAGGTTGGCTTACTATCCGGTACTTCTATCTTCTTCATCCTACATTCTGGGGATAAGCTTACTGGAAATAGTCCGTACACATGTCTCTGTCACCTCCGTTTCGAGCCAAACATTTCAGACTTCTTGAAGCTGCTTCTTGACAGGGGTCAAAGTATTCTCCTGGGCGTTTACTTTGCAGGGAAAAATCAGCATCTTGAACTCTTCGCCACAAGTTGAGATGAATGAGACGGCATATTAATACCTTTCAAATTTTCGACTCGTCTCTTTATCCCATGGATTTTCTGTAGATTTATCCGATGACATACTGCAATCCTGCAATTGGTGCAGAATGAATATGATATGGAGATGTTGGTATTGGTAGAATGTGAATCACTTCTTTGATCAAGTTACAGCTGGCCGTTTGATTTCATCTCGTAGACTCGCTCTCGTACTCGAGAAAGTCAAAGCTTCCTGAAGTTTCATCACCTGCCCTTCCACCTCCAGACATTCCTTGTAAAGCCCGATGCCCGACGCCCGACTCCCGGTACCATTGCCGATACCAACTTCGATTAACCGAAGTATCACGTGCAAATCATCATCGTGTCTCGTGCTTACTTCACATCTCCCACCGAGCCACCAAAGCCACTCTCCATCCTTATCTAAGAGCAGGGATTTCTTATCAGCCGAGCCAAGCCCAGATATTGGGACTTAGCGAGGTAGATGAAAATGTCATTGCTCAGTTGGTCTCTCTTACTCAAATGTTTGAACTCATTTGAACTTGGACATCTCCTCTCCACCAGTTCCTCCTGATTATCATCCAAGTATAGTGTACAACCTTGCTATATTTTCATTTCAATTTTATACAGACACCAACATGAATTATACTCTGCACATAAACGTACCTGCCTATGCTGTAGCGTTTTCCAACATCGAAGCCCACAATGCAACTACTGAAAGAAGAGATCGCTATCAACTCATTACCACCCACATCACTGAGAATGGATACGAGCTTTATCAATCGTCAATCCAATGCGTCATATTGATAACTCCATTAATAGACCCAACCTACTAGGCATATCGACTCACGATGAACGGCCGAATTTACCGGAAATTCCCCTCAAAGGACCTTCCTCCACCCAAACTATCCTCTTGCTGCCAATACTGTTATCAGGACCGTGCCAATTTCTTGTTGAGGGAAAATGTCGATCACAAGACATTATCTCTTCTGGGGAGTCGAACGGTCCTGGGCAATTGCCAACAATAGGTCGTTAGCTGAAATGAGATTTCTTACTGCTTTGGTAGTAGTATATACCTACACGAACCTTGTTTCGACGAGGAAGCTCATATATTCGTGTCTAGCATTCGTTACCATGAAAAATGACTTTCAAATGGACAAACGATAAGGTAGATATTATTTTTCCCGTCGCGAATTCTTCCATTGCAACTTTCCATTGCGACATTCAATTACGACATTCAATGCGTCCTGTTTTCTCTGTTATGTTATTGTCTCTTGTCTTTTGCCGGATGTTCCAGAACAAACATTATTGGTAGATTTTTCCATGTCCGTTAACGGCTCAATGCATCAAGCGAAGCATGCCAAATATAGCCGATAGTACTAAGAAGTGTTTTGTGTTCCATTTTGGGTCATCATTTCCAGCTGGTCTGATCAACTCGTGATGCATTAGCCCTCCACACCTATCGATGTCCCTCCACTTTTGATTCTACTTGTCTCCATAATTGGTTGCCGTCTTTTAACTTTGGTAATTTGTACTCCAACTATACATTATCAACTGCTAAATCATACAATTGATGACGCTCGAGCATGGAACTGGCATACAATTCCCTTGTTCCTGTGGCTGGTTATAACACTGAGGCAGCTCACCGATTGGATGTTGTGGTCAGGGAAGGATTTGATTACCACGTTATCTTGTGCCCGTTTTTTATTCGTGTGGTTCCCACTATCCATTTGCAGAAACAGTTTCCATGCAAATGTATCTCAGTTACAGTACCCTGCATTCATGTTCGCTTGGTGCAGCGCTATTATTGAGTCGTCTTAGTAGAAGATATCAATTCTGCTGTTTGGGCTAGACCTACGCACGTCGATCGACCACTCCGGATATTAATCAACGATAAGGAGTATGCTGGAGTGACGATTTCACCCAAGATATCGTGAAACTATCTCCACATTCATCCCCAAGGTCATCTAAGGAGGAAAAACTCACTGCCAAAGAAGGTGTGGAGGAGCATAGTAAGGGCGGCCAGGATCGAAGCATCGAGGACGTGCAAAATTAACGAAGGATTGATAGTAGTGTAAGATGATGGTTGGTTGACAATCGTGGCACCGATGGATTACCACACAAGACGTAGATTGGGCTTCAATTTTAAGGCTTTGAAAGTTGTTATAGATATAAAAGAGTTGTCCTTCTCGAGCCGACCTTTGCAATAACCTTTATACTATACCATTAAAACATTCTCCCTTTGTGCTATCATACAATTATCAACCTAGTCAGCAACTCACTGAATAACTGCACCTCGGATAAATTTATCTGTTAGTATATCCACATTCCTTACTGTCGTTTCAATGCGCTGTCCACGATGCACGGGTGCGCTTTCTTGCGTCGGCTCTCTCTTCTCATCTCTTAAGATGGTTGTCTCAAACTCAGCGGGCAAGCGATGGGTTTCGTTCAACCTCAAATACCATGGAAATGTTGAGCCTCGAGCTTCAGACGTGGTATTCGAGCTGGCAATGCATCAAACTCTGACAAATTCATCATAATCGCTTCCCCTGAATCTATTTTGAGTTTGCCATCCAGTTGAAGGCCATATATTCCCTTCAACGCATCAAGTTCATCTGCTGCCTCAGCATATCTTGTCTAACAGTCTATTTAGTATAACATAGAACCACGGGTCCTTGATTATCTTCTCTACGACCACATCTTTCGAATCAAAAGGATCTACACCATAATAACACCTGATACCAGTACATCAGTGCTTGAACAACAATTTCAACAACTACATCCAACAGCGAACTTATCTACATTTCTCCAACACACAAACAGTCCACAAACAGCAAAGATGGCCACTATCGACGTAAGCTATCAACCAGGAACTCCTGAGCCAAACTTGTTCCCTAAGGTGGCAAGCTACACTTCCTCTAGAGCAACTCAAGACAGTCTCAAACGATCCTTCGCCAAGTATCTAGCCTCAGAGCAGAGTGCACCAGCTGTCGGAAAGCTATTCAAACCTGACACTCATCTTCAATATGAAGAGCCTAGCTATGTCCATACCATGGAAGAGATTGGATACTCTGCCACCTCTGGTGTTTCTCCCATCGCTGTCTCTGAACCCTTCCGTCTTTTTAGCGAGGAAGCTGTTAATGTTATGAGGGAAGAGATTTTCGACAAGGAAGTCCAAGAGAAGTATAGTTATACCTCAGATATCGCACCCAAACAACTCCGTGGTTATGCTCCCGAGTAAGTTACGATATCACCCCTTGATTTTATTGATCATTCAACTAACGTATCTCTTTACGCAGTCACGGCAAATTCATCTACGAGGCCTGGAAACACCCTGAAACTCTCGCAATTATCTCTAAGATTGCGGGTGTGGATCTTGTTCCTGTCATGGACTATGAAATTGGCCATGTCAACTTGTCTGTCCCAGGAGAGAAACGTAACCATGATAGCAGTGTTTTGATAAGCGAAGAGGATGAGAAGCCCATTGTTGGCTGGCACAGAGACAGTTATCCATTCGTTTGTGTTCTCATGATGAGTGACACAACAGGAATGGTGGGTGGCGAGACTGCTTTGAGAACTGGATTTGGTGATATCAAAAAAGTTCGCGGTCCATCAAAGGTAAGGCTGATCGCATACACCCGTTGAAGTATATCTACTTACATTGCCTAGGGATGCGCTGTGGTTTTGCAAGGTCGTTACATTGATCACCAAGCACTGCAAGCATTTGGTGGACAAGAGAGAGTCACCATGGTTACCTCCTTCCGTCCACGATCCCCACGTGTCCGTGACGACACCGTCCTCACTACTGTCCGACCCATCTCCAATCTTTCCGATTTGTATGGACAAACAGTCGAATATCAATTGGAAAATGCCGAAGCCCGCATCAGGATCATGCTCAAAGAACTTCGCGATTCCATGAAAGCCGGCGCTACCAATGCCAAATCCATTAAATCCTTCCTCGATTTCGAAATCAGCCAACTAACCCACCTCAACGAAGAAATCGTCGACGAATCACTTGTCAGAGTCGGAGAGTTGGGAGAGATCTGCGCTGAAGCTGCGAATCCAAACAAGAAAGCCAGAGCTGAATGAATGATGGGCATGGCCAGCTAGACTTTAATGACTTGATACGAATTTCTTTTGTTCTTATTCCCTCTTTAGCGCCGATCGTTTGAATGGAGACATTTCTTCTGGATCTTGGAATGAAGTTGAAGGTAGCGTGCTGGATGCAGATCAGATAGGCTCTTTTAATCTGGAGCTTGCTCCATAGTCTTTGGCTTCGAATCTTAGGTTTCGTCCCTTTCTTGTTAGTACAATGCAATAGCACTTATGAACTGTTGATGGCTTGCTTTTTGATTAGATTGTTAGTGTTGTTTAATTGATGATTTTGCACTGCATATACCGGAAAATCTTGGGCGGGGTTGTAAATCACTGGTGGGGGATTTTGAGAGATAAATAGGTATTAGATGACTCGATGGTTGGTTGGTTGGATAGGTGCCACGTAATATTGCTTTATAGTTCAGAGAGCCAATGCAATGCTGATATGAAATCTATGGGGGCTTCTCTTCGATATAGTGAGATGAATGAGGGGATTTACTTTTTGATTGTCCTATACTGTTGCGTGGGAAACACTAATTAGATCGAGTAGAGATTTCTGTACTGCAGCGGATCCCGGACATAGAGAATTACTTGGTTATCATCTGAGAAGAGATATAATATATTCAGAATTGTAAGAATTCACGATTATCTATAAGAAGTCCTACCAATGACTTCGTATACAACCGGTTTTTATATCTAGAATTTTGGATACCGGATTGATAGGTGACTAGAATCGTGAAGTTAATTGATGAATGATTCCTATACGACGACTAAAGTGGGTAGGTTCAGATGACATGTGGTACTAACATGAAACATCAAGTTTCGAAGTTCACTCAATATAGGAAGGTACAGCTATCTACTATTCACTTTGACACGAGATTTACCTATGATGCACGCGATTTGGAATATACTCTACTGTGCCACAGACGATCCCCAAAGCCACCTTCTAACTGTGGGTCCGACGCCTCTCGACACTAGTACACGTGATCGACTACCCCATTACGCTAAACAAGGCTTGAGCTAAGGTTATCTTTGCGGGACGCAATCCATTTTGTGCGTCCATCGACTTTCACAGCCCGACATTGACTTTTCCATTCCAATTTACAGCCTTATCTAGAAGGCACTTTTGAGCGCTTTGAAAGACAAGGCGCTTCTTCCGAACAATTTAACAGTTATATCAACTCTGTTACACTACTACCTTGGCTATTCATATACAACGGCGAGCAATCCTAGCAGTCCTCCCTAAGATACCGTCGGTACCGAAAATTACCATGAATTCTTCACCCTCCTCTGTCATGTCCAGAGCTACGCCAAGTTATGGATCTCGCATGCGCGAAAATACACCCAGGAGTCGGGAGGCTCCATCACCTATTGCGAAGCTCGAAGCTATTATAAAACCCAGGGACGAAGAGCCGGTTCAACATAAAGCACAGGTTCAGGTTCGTTGGAGAAGGATTATCCTCGCAGCATACGCTAACACTCCTCTTAGGTTTCTGCTGACCATCTCAGAGATGACCTGATCTCCATGAGAAAATGCTTAACTTGCTCCATCTGCGACCAACTACTTTACGAACCATGGATTTTACAATGTGGCCATACATACTGTTATTCTGTGAGTGTAGTTCGAGAACTTGGTTAATTGGATAGGGGCTGACGTGATTATAGTGTCTGTGTCAATGGTTCATCCCAAATAAGAGAAAAAAGACATGCCCAGAATGCCGCGCACCAGTGAAGCAAATGCCAGCTCCAGCCTTCCTTGTAAGAAACTCCTAAAAAAGGCATAAGCAAAATTGATGCGTATTAATCAGCACTAGATAAAAAATATGGTCGAGATATTCATCCAAAGAGGTCAACTAATGCCAGATGATGAGACGATAGAACAGCACAAGGTCAGGAATGCCGAAGAAACTGAGATGGTAGAGAAAGATAAAAATGGCCCTGAAGGATTGTTCAAAGGCACATTTCCACTACGGCGTGGGAAACCGTGGCACGATGAAGCGGACGGGGTTATGCGATGTCCTTCCTGTGGATATGAGCATGAAGGTGGGCCAACGTGCGATCATTGTGGTGCTGGGGTTGACGAGATTTATGGCTCCAGCGATATGGAAGACGACGGCAATCTTTCAGATTTTGACATTGGTTATGGAGAGGATATAGAGCGGGAGCTTGAGCTTGAAGCCGAATTGCACAGGGGAGTAGAAGACGCTTCAAACGTTTCCCACTTTCGACATAATCCCTTTGCTTTCGGTGGTCCAATTCACCAACACGTTCTCCATCATTACCACACTCATCAGCGTGGTCATCGTGTGGACAATTTGAACGATGACTCAGAAGATCCTACAAATTCGGATACCAGCAATCAGGACAATAGTGATGACGAAGACGCTGGTTCACTGGAAGATTTCATTGCAAATGACGACGAAGATAGCGAGCCCGCTGCTCCTCCACCACGTAGGTCGAGACAGAGAGTGGTCATAATATCGGATGACGAAGATGGTGACGATGACGATGATGACGATGAAGAGGATTCTGATGATGAAGGTGGTGCGATTACGAATCGCCGGCGGCCGCGATCTGGCTGGGCCGGCTCCTCAGAAACGCCTTCCAGAGCCATCTCAATCTCAGCGGAGGAGAATGGTAGCACACCCTCTAGATCTATCTTGATTTCAGATGACGACAATGGTAGCAGTGCAAATGGTTCGGAGTTTGGTGATGAGATGGTCAATCATGAGGCACGCAGGCTGAGGGCATCGGGTGGCTGGAGTCCCTTGGATGAAGGAGAGGATGACGATACAAACAGATTGGCGCACGGTGAATATGGTGATTATACTACAACTGACGATGAAAGAGCCTCGGACGAAAGCGATTCGGATACGATTGGTAATCCAAATTCAGATGGCGAGGAAGAAGAAGATCGGCCTCGGGGCGGGCTTCGGGGGATACTAAACTATGATTATGAGGAAATGGATCCAAATTTTGATGGTTTCTCGTCAAGCGTAGATGGGGATGCCACACCAATCGATTACGCTGGAACTAGCGACGGCGCATTTAACAATCACGGAAGCGAGAACGAGCATTACGACTATGATACTGATGGAGATCTACTACCTAGCATGGATCGGGACGGTGATACTGAAATGAGTGTGTCCCCTGGTGTATCACGGTCCAGTCGAGATGTTAGCGTGGAAAGTAATTTGGGCGAAAACCTCGGCGTTGCAAACGAAGTTGCCGGGAATGACGACGATGATGACGATTCAGACAGCTCGATTCGTCCACCCCCACGTCGACAACCGAGAAATAACGCCGGTCATCAACAGTATAATTCAAGAATAAGCATGCTATTCGCGGAACATCAAAATACTGTTAGAAACGCCCGAAACCCTGATGACATAAATTATTGGGAAGATGAAAACGATAGAGATATCCCAGAGGGCGGTTCCTCTGGAAATCGTCGCAGGACTCAATACCATCATCCTCTAGGTCCATCGGGAGGCAATCATCACCGCACTATGCAACCTCTTGGTATCGATAGAATCAGAACATCTAGAGGCTCTTCGCCACCACGCCTCGTACCTACTTATAGTAGTAGAACTGGTCGCTCGCAGAGACAGTAGTCAACATAATTGTAAATAGAACGGACATAATAACGAGGCGTTGGGTAAAACTCTTCTTTCTGGGATCTCAACATTAGCGCTTGGCTGGAATGGATCGGGCGGGGATTGAATGGGAAGGGAGTTTGGGTTCGAATACCAGGAACGAGATATTCTCGAATATTAGTCTTAAGGTTAAGGGCATGGCGTTACTTGACCTGAACTCCAAGTTAGGTCAAGGGTATTTAATCGCTTATACGAACTGTCTGTCGATGGCGATTTTTGGTTGTTTATGCATACCTACCTACACATAGATTATATCTTTAAAATTAAATCATGATAAAAGTATTTGTAATCCACGATCAAGCATGTACTTAATACATACATGTTTAGCATGTATTTCACAATCATTTATTACTTTTTATACACAATGTATGTACAGGTACATGCACCCATCCATCCGTCCATCCATATACATACGAGAAAAATAAAAGATCTTGTTTCTCCATTCTCTCCCCTCCCCCTTTCTTCTCGTCTCGTCTCCCCCGTCGTTCGCTCCTCCACCTCGGTAAAATTTTACTATCTTCTCTTCTCTTCTCCTATCCATCCCGCTATACACGCAAACATTGGTATCAAAAACTTCCATATACCCGAATTGCTCAAGAAAAGGAATCAAAAAAAAAAAAAAAAAAAGAGTAACCGAAGAATGATAAAAGGAAAAATAAAAATGCCATGATGTATGTATGTATGTATGTATGTATATATGTGTAGACAGATGAATTTATAAAGGTAAAAAGTAAAAACAAGAAGAAACCAAACGATAATGTGTCGATAATAAAATATGAGTATGTGAAGAGAAGAAACAAAGAAAGACAGAAAAACTAAATACGGTAAACTCAGAAGATGTAAATGAATGGGTAAAACAAATAAAGCAGATAAAACAAAACGCTTCTATGTAGTATATCAACCCAATCCATCCATTCCATTCCATCCGTCCATCCATATCCGCTATGCTCCTCGCCATGGATGATTACCGATGTACGATGTGCGACTTGCAAGGGAAATTAACTTGAAAAACAAATTGTACAAGAGAATATGTACGCTATGTACATGCGCACTACATCGCAACACATCGCACCAAGTCACGCACCAACCCATCCACTCCCCAAAGACCCCATAAACCCCTTTATTTAATCAAAAACATTCTCACTGCAAGCGTCTTCTATACGGCTCCATTAGTAGGTGTCTTTTCTCTATCCGACTCCTCAATCGTATCCTCCCTTCTCAACATGTCACCTGGGGTGAAAACCATTTCTTCCGTTTCACCCGGTCCAGTCACGGGAGTAAAGACATCGACTTCCTCAATTTCTTCTTCGTCTTCTTCTTGGATTATTTCGCCACTTCTTCTGCCTGCTATACTGGTGCTTCTACTGTGCGAACCCGTTCTTGTGTGGCCATGGCCGTTTCCGCTACCCGATGCGACAGGTGAGGTAGTATTGAGTGAGGGTCCTTTGAATAAATTCTTTTTCCGTTTCGCGAATACGAGGGGGGCGCCAAATGCACTATTGCTACCACCCCATGAGACTCCTTCATTGAAACTTGAAAGCGGGGTTTGTCGAACGACACGGATGTTAGAAGGGAATGAGCCAAGGGTGGGGGTTGCGGGTAGGACCTTGACGGAGTGGTGAGGGCTGCGAGTTGGTAATGATATCTTTGAGCCAGATCCATTGGATGAGGTTGATGAAGCTTTCGAATGAGTATGTTGATGCATTATACTGCGAACAGAAGAAACAGAAGACGATGTGGATTTTCGTCCTCTTAAGCCACTACTTGGTCGACGTTGGAATGTCGAGCGAGGGGTTACGGGTGATGGGGACAATGAATGTCGTTTGGTACTTGAAGTCCCTTGAATTCGTGAAACAGGAGGGCCGCCTAGTTGTGGCATTGGAGCACGTGTCATCGTAGGAGACTTTGAAGTAACTGGTCGCGGACTAGGGTCCTTCGGACTACTCGAGCCGTCAGCAGCCTTTTCGCGGAGATCTGGTGTTGAGCGACTAGCTTTTGTCTTCTTCCCAGGTGACCTGGCACGTCTAGCAGAATCTAGAAGCCAATGTTTCCAATGTGCCAGCTGGTTTATGATAGCATGCTGATGCTTGCGACGCTGTTGGGGAGGTTTGACAATGCCATTAGTACTAGGGTGTAAGAAATCATGGTTAGAAGTAACTAGCTGCAGTGTGCTTCCTCGTGACCGGGCACTCCGCAAAGTGCCTTCTTTTGGAGGAGGAATAGGGCGTCGATGTCGAGATGAGCTTGCCGAGCGAATTGAATCCTTTTCAAGTGGCGGAGGAGGAGTGTGAACTTCAGGCGAGGAAAACTGACCATGTTCGGGTAATCCAGGTAAGTCAGTCAGTATAAGGTCCGGGTAATGGGCGCTTCGCCTCTCCTTTCTTCCTCTGCTCCTAGGTGGATCGCTGATCTTTAAAGGCTGCCCTTCTTCATCGACTCCAGTTAAAATTGGCGTCATTTTTTCCAAACGGCTACTCGCAGCACTTAGTCTTCTTGAGGATCGGTTCTCTGCCTCTCGTTCCTTACGTTTTCGTTCTTTTCGAGCCTGTTTTCTTTCTTCCTTTTCGAGTAGGAGGGCCCACCAACCGGCCAAAGCATCACATCGTTGAGCCAGTACATTTTCAATGACTTGATCGATATCTACACCAGCACTTCGCATCCGCTCCAAGGTCTCCTTTTCTAATGCAGTGGTGAAAGGTGCCGCTCTCTGCAGCTTTAGAATGGCTTGTTGTTGTGGCGCATGCTCGGCAAGAAATGGATGCGTAAGAATATCAGACAAAGCAGGTCGAATTAAGGGTCTCTTTGACAATAGAATGCTCAGTAAAGTTCGCGCGTCAGTTGTAAGGTGATCCGGCCATTTCGGCTCCGCAGTCAAGATTCTAGTCCTTGTAATGTTATCGTCATCATCGTCGAATGGTAGCTCGCCACATAGTAAAGCGTATAGAATAACGCCTAGACTCCAAACATCAACCTTTTCTCCGGCATACTTTTCTCCCTTCAGCATTTCTGGAGCACTGTAACATATTGTACCACAGAAAGTCTGCAAATAACTCGCCTTTCCTTCATACTCGCGAGTAAACCCAAAATCTACAAGTTTAACATTCTCGTATTTATCTAAAAGGATATTTTCCAGTTTTAAATCCCGGTGAACGCAAGATGAATTGTGAACGTATGAAACGGCGCCAACCAATTGAGTGAAGATCTTTTGTACCTTTTCCACCGGTAGGGGACCATGCTCAAGAAGATAATTGTATAATTCGTCGCCTGCACCATCATTATTAGCCCCATTTCCTTCTGCCTATGCACACGACTTACCAGGACAATACTCCAATACAAGCCATACCAGGTTTTCGGTGACAATTACTTCGTAAAGGCGAGCAATGTGAGGATGTAAGAATTGTCGGTGGTGATGTATTTCTCGAGCCAGATTCGAATCATCCTTGTTGGCCGACTTGAGTACAACCTACAGGACACCGGTGAATTAGCTGATATTCTGCAAATCTCAATTCCATCCTTGAACATACCTTGGAGCTATGTAAGAGTTTGTGCGAAGCCAGATAAACCTTCCCAAAAGACCCCTTCCCAATTAACCTCCCCAAAGTGTAATTGCCTACTGAGCGGAGTTCTTTCGACGAGAACTCTCTGCACAAGGTTCATTGTTAGCATTGTTCCATTTGGTTTGCTCCGGCAAATACGTACTCCAATAACTCATGATATGAATTGGCAAGCTGTGACTCGAATGTATTAGCCCCTCATATTCATTCCCCAGAAACCAATTCTCCTTGCGCCAACTCAACACCTCATTAATGCCTACCTTAGCTTTCCGGCCCTGCGATTCAGCCTTAAGCCTTGCTGCCTGCATACCAGTCACCTTTCGCCACTCCGTCTGCTGTGTATACAAGAGGCTCTGAGCCGGGACATCCAAACTCTACCAGTCACGTCGGCGCGTCGTATTGGCGAATCGAACTTCGTCGTATTTGTTGATGAATAAACGTCCGGAAGATGCCTGAAGATTGATGAGCCTTGGGTAGAAAAGCAGCCTTATTAAGAAACTTTGGTCATTGGCTGCTGCGTAATAAGTCGATATTGGTGCACGATAGATAAGGTATGGCAAAGAATCATGATTTAGAGACAAAATAAATGACAAGGAGATGCTTCAACAGGGGCATGTTTTTTCTATGGTCCGGGCAGCGGGCTTTTCGGAAGCGGTAGGTCGTATGTTAAGGTTACCTTTCCAAAATGGACCAACTTGAGACCTCCTTTTCCATATATAATTCGGGAATTTTTGATGAAGAAATGTGCTTCTTCTTTATGCAGCAGGAGATGAATCAAATGCTCAAAAGTGGTTGTTAGAATCTGCCACTTTTCTACAGTTATCTCGCCATATCGTCTATCGAAGGGAGTACCATGTAGGTACCGGTACACATGTCGTTCTTTCATCGTTTTATCTCTTCCAAGGTTCTCTTCCTATGATATACTTGGTATTCTCTATTGAGCTTCTATGAGAGATTGACGGCAATTCATGGTCATTGAATATCGAAGTCTCCTCCAACTCTAAGATACATGATTGATTGCCTACCGAGTCAACTCTACCTCATCAGTACATTACTTCTCATTACGAAACTATGATGTTTTGATGTAATACTGTTGAATCCCTGCATGGGATCCTGCATAGAATAATGATCCATAAGGACGAATGCGATCCACAAAAACATGGCAGAGCGTGCACTTTTTACCGCGAAGTCTTGAATTCCTATCTATATTTAACCTTCTTCAGCTGAGAATGATTATGTTGCTTCGAGAATGAATCTCCATGGATGTTCCAAAGCTACCTAGTGCCTTTGGACTAACACTCGAGTGACCCATCCCTATGGTTCAATGTAACGATATGAGGCAGAAAGTCGATACATGAGTGGTGCAAGTAACTGCATAGGCTGTGTGTACCTGGACCTAGTACCGAGAAGAGACTAAAGTCGTTCATTGGGGTAATAGACATTAAGGTCACCAGCGTCAAACATCTAGACCTGAACGTTTCGAAGGAGATGACATGGTATCGCATTTTTCTCACGTTTCTGTTTTCGTTTGGACAATTTCAATATTCGTGTAGGCGTAGGAAGATATTAGAAAACTCCAAAGATAGGTGGCCATTTTCCTCCATGTACGTTAAACTCAATCTTCGAACATGTAGGGCAGCCGAGGAAATTAATATCAACAGCTTTAAATTAGATCTCATATCTTCTTGACATGTTTGCTTGTATGAGGCTATAATAGGCAATGGGGTTCCAATTAAGTTCTGAATTTCTTGGATACTAAAGATCCTCTCTCGATCTACATGACCTCAAATAGGAATATATAATGCATTCGTGAATGCCAGAATGATACTTTTCCCTGTATATTCCCTTCCCCGAACACCACCGCAACGCCTAGTAAATGAAAATCCATGTCGTAAGTCTAGCCAATGCATTCTAGCTTTTAAAATCTCTCCTTCATTCTGCTAGCAACAGTTCTTAAATTGCCGTAAACCTTTCCAGGTGGGCTACCCAAAATCAGACTAACAATGGCCTCTCTCGCAATGTGGATATTCTTGAAGCCTCCCAAAATGTGGATTTTGCTATCTGCAAGAACCACTCTTGTGCGACTCGCATTCTCAATTGCAAATTTGGTCTTTCCATCTTTGCCTGCGATACGGCCGATGGCTCTTCCCAAATGCTCACCTTGCAGTGTCTTTACATCCTTAATCTCAAAAGTCTGAATGTAAAGATCGTCAAGTCGTAATAATGCAATAGCATCATCGACATCAAAACCTAACGAAAAGGCCTTGACGAAATCCTCGCCCTTTTGTAAAGATCCAGTATCGGTAGTGTGTTTGGAGGTACGGAGTTCAACGGCTTTATTTTTGATATTCATGCGGACTTGGAGTTTGAGATGCTCGACGAGAGGAGGGTAGATCTTAGGCCAGGCGGCTTTGAGAGGTGTCATTCGGTGTGGAGGAATGGGAACTTTTCGAGTTTCGACTCGGGTTGCTGGGTCCTGTTATCTTTGTTAGAACCGCATGCGCTTTTTGACAGTAGCATAGATTGAGAGCCGTACAATATTCTTGGCTGGTGCAAATCGGGGTCGTCCTTCTTCATCAATGTGCATTTCGCTATTGTCGGTGGCTGGAGGCAAAATGGTATCCAGATCTGCAGAAGTAACTTCTGGTGCATCTAATAAGAATTCGTCATCTTGATCTGGAACGACATTAGCTACTATTCCCGCAATGCGCATAGTGACAGCGTCATAAGATTAATTACTTTGATCGGGTGCTGGCACGTTAGTAGCTTCAGCAAGCTCTTCTGGTCTTCTCAACAAAGCTGTGGGTGCAGGCATTTTCTCTTGTCGGATTGCGTATGGTGGAGTTGAACAATATCTTCGTGAAAATATTCGTTATGTAGTTGGAATATAAGTCTTTTTTCTGAATGTCGATTTTAATGTTCGTAGTCAGTCGATCAAATTGGAAAAAATATTTAGTGGGGGTATGGATGCGATAGAGAATTTACTGATAAGATCACTAGCGTCTTCATTAGTGCCAAAAATTCCAAAAGGCGCATCCGGAAAAGCCCATCGTCATTCATTCTCTCGCGTGCCTTCATTTTTCAATTTCTGTTCCAAGATACGAGTGTTGAGGAAGGATTCTACGACTTCAACAGTCTTGTTTCAATCTTTCAGGATGAGCTGGAGGTTATGTCGACAAACATAAAACCTAGGTTATGGTCCCAGTTATGGGATCAAGCAAGTTCACTCGCTGCAACAAAGACATGTAAAGAATCTATACGACCTTACATATCTAATTCGATTCTACTAAATACTACTCGTCGCGCATTTTCGCAATCAAAAATCAGGTCCTTCTACAGCTCTTCCCCCAAGACTCAAGTTCGAAAGAGTTTTGCCTATGGCGGGGTCTTCTTCCTTGATTTGAGCTCAGGTACCTCCGCAACACCCTCGATAGCATCATGTACAACCACAGTGGAGAAGACTCTATATTCAGCATCATCGTTACCAAGACGACCTTTGACAACATTTCTTCAACAAGAATGGCGACGTGAGATCCATTCAAGTAGTCGGCGGAGGGCAAGAGGTTATGCGAGAAGAAATAAAAGCTCTGCATCAAATTTACAAAATGCTCGGAAGACACCCCAAGAAACCCACAACCCCTCACAGATTACCCCGCCAGTAAAGGAATCGGTCACGGATGCTAACATTCCACACTCTACCTCGAGCAAGTACCATCTTCCTCACATGCCAAAGATGCCCCATCGGCCGACGAGAGAGGAATTACTCGCCGCAGCAACGGGATTTTGGTCTCGATTGAAGGTTCGGTTCAAGTGGTTTACGATTAGAGGCGGGCGACCGTGGAATGTTGACGATTGGAGTGCTTTTGTTTCATGGTTTGTCTTGGGAAACATAGCCTGGATTTTTATCGGAACCACAACTTTCTTCTCTCTTGTTATCCTATCTATCAACACTGTTGTCGCTCAAGGTAAGAGCCATAAAAATATGAGGATTATACAATGACTGACTCTAGATTAGAAACATTGGCAAGATGGGTGGGTGATTACCTTACACATTCGGCAGGGATCAAGGTCGTTTTCGAATCTGCCATCGTGCCGCGATGGAAAGATGGAGTAATTACGTTCCGGAATGTGTTTGTCTCAAGGAGACCAGGACAAGGGAAGACCAAGTTTAGCAAGGGTTCGTCTTTGAGTGCTGCGGCTGCCGCTGCCTCTCAACGGCAGGTGGATACAGAGGGGAAAAAGGAGGAAGAGGAGGACACAAACTACACCCAGTTTGACGTCACTCTCGATACAGTCAATGTCACTTTATCATTTGTCAAGTGGTGGAACGGCAAAGGACTTCTTCGGGATGTAGAAATCAAGGGTGTCCGAGGAGTAATAGATAGAACTTCGGTTCATTGGGGCGATGAATACATCGACCCTAAATCGTTTCGCCATGAGCATAACCCCGGCGATTTCGAGATAGATTCTTTCAAACTAGAGGATCTCTTGGTTACCGTGCATCAACCCAATGGTTTCCGACCCTTCTCTGTCAGTATCTTCTCATGCGATCTGCCCCAGCTACGAAAACAATGGCTATTCTATGATTTCCTTTCGGCGAGCAATATGTCTGGTGCCTTTGACGGATCTCTTTTCACAATTCATCCTCGACAGATCCACGGGTTTGCTGGCTCGCACGCTCTTGACTCTTCTGGAAATGACGGGTCAAGCCTTTGGAAAAAGCAAAGTCGTCTCCGCATAGATGGCCTCAAAATTGACCATTTAAATCGAGGAGTGGAAGGGCCGTTTGGCTGGATTCATGAAGGAAATGTTGACATTGTTTCTGATGTCATGCTTCCAACTGAAGCGGATGACAGCATCGCCAAGGTGATGTCCGACTTTTACGACCGAATGGAAGAAGCTGTAACATCTAATCGTTATTTCCACATCCTCGAAAACAACCCACGTACAGAACAACCAGACACATCCGCTGAGCCCGATGCTTCGGCGGAGAAACTCTCTCACGATGACAATAAACGCTACATTGTCATGGACCTTCGCATTCATCTTAATGACGTGAAAGCAGCCGTGCCACTCTTCACTCGCGACTTATCTTACGTTAATCAGGCCCTGATTCGACCCATCGTCGCCTATATCAACGCGAAGAAAACATTTATACCCATAAATTGTCGAATCGTGAAACGAGCTAGTGATTTTGATGGTAGCTGGACCATCTTCGATAGCGGATTAATGGATGATATGTCTGCAGAGACTTATGAAGCATTTGCGAAAGATGTGGTAGACAGTCAGGCCCGCCTGCGTCGGTTGAAAAAGGTGGGGTTTTGGTCAATTTCTATGGCAATCCAGGCAATATTTATGGGCATGGCTGGAAATGTTGCTTGAATTGACAATTGATTGAACTTATGAATGGCCTTGTTCAGGGCCTGCATGCAAGGTCATGAGACTCTCCTCTTACCATGAGGTACGATGACCTTTTTGTATAAAATGGTGTGGCAATGGATGGGCAGTGCATAGCTTGGTTTTGCTTTTATGGTTGAATTGGCATGGCGTTTAGATATCCCCCTCAAAAAAACGGATTAGCAGGTGGGAGAACAGGAGTTTGGGACTTGATGCGTGCTCGTACACGTCTACGCGCGCATCTCTATAGAATAATGTGATGCAAATGGAATTAGATACATTTCCTGATGTCAGTCTTTACTCCCGCCTTCATTCACGTAATGATAGTTTGTAACATCCAATTTTGAAAGGTCGGCTCGTTCACCTCATCGTCATCGTATATAAGTCTACCTACAATCAACGCCTAGACAACAAAACATATCGAAGTCATAGAAGATATCAAGCCTAGAACTAGGTAGTAAACCTTCAGACTTAAATCAAGCACTCTTGGGTTGGTTTAAGCGATTATTGGTGGTCAATCATGATTTGCAGGTGCGATTCAAGTGGAAGAACCAAAATGATCTTGGGTAAGTTTTTTTTGCAGTACCCCATAGGTCGGTTGTACTAATATTGATAAATATAGCTTTCTGGGACAACCGTTCAACTTTCCACGCGGCCACAGATGATCTTGAAGGACAGGGTAAAAGATATGGTGTCAGAGCCGTTAGCGTTGGAGAAAAGCCATTTTTCGACCCCGAGAGCAAGTCTAGAAGAGATGCCCTAGGCATTAGATGTAAATAGCTGCTCGATAGTACAATGAATAACATGAATAAAATGATCGATATAAATCCTTACAATCTGTCATTGGACAAATTCACCCGCTTGTGCTTGTGTCTAGGTAGATATAGTCATGTATGTAGTTATGAACACGGGTGAATGAGTCACTTGCCGTCTGGTCGCGAACATTCATAGCGCCATATAAAGATAGAACTTATGGCTCGTAACAATCCTTATTCATGAGTGTCCCAAAAAATAATATAGCTCATTCAGATTGTACTTCTTTTCCATTCGAGGGTGTTCATCTTGGAGACAGAAAGTCGTGGATGTGGACATTGACCATAAAGTTCTCGTTCACGTGATCAAAAATTAAGGCATTTCTCCACCACGGCTGCCATCAGAACTTCACTCCAACAATGGATATTGAATTGACATACATACAGATCACAATGCAAAGACGGTGAGATTGACGATTGAGAACAGCGGAAGCCAAGCTATTGGCAGCATACTATCTACACATTTCACAACCGACGGGAGAAATCTCATCCATTCATGTAATTGTGTTTTTAATTTTTTCTTCTGAAAATTGAATCGATCGCGAAACAATTACGAAAGTCCGGGGACAGATGACAACATATGTTCTTACAGGCATTACGTGCCATATGCACACCCAACCACTCTCCCGTTACATCGATTCTCCAACTTTGTAGCTTCTCATGCAGACGGAACATCATATGTGCCCTCAGTACTGATAAGAGTTTCGTGCTTGTGGCCAATGCTTGTGCCTTGAGCTCCTTTCGTCGACAGAAGGGTAAACTATTGGGACGGGCTTTTATGGCGACAAGTGCGCTAGAGATTCTCTCATCGAATACTCACTATGAATTCTTTCTCTCAAGGGCTTCCATGACTGCTTTGGAGCATGTCCCGGAATATACTCTCTTATGGTGGCGCCCGAGAATTTCATATGTCTACGCAGCATGCGTTTGACAGTTAGCAGATTCCATGTATTAGCATAATTTATGCGTCATTCAAAAGCACACCATGGGCTTATCTGGTATCAAGACGTGAAAACTTTGTTAGTTTTAACTGTTTTCATTTTTCGGGGAGATTATTACGAGGTAGAGGTAGGTCTCGATCCGAGATTATGGATAATGTCGCTGCATTGTCTTTGCCACAAAGGTTTGACTGCGATTTTACTCCGAGATACCTCTATTGTGTGATTTCCAGTGGATCTTTCTCAATAATTGTCTGCCCTCGGTAGTCCCGCACACCTGCAGTCTCTCTTGGCCTTTCGCACCAATCACAATATAGCTGATATTGTAGCATGAGCATATCTTTGAACCATCGTATGGTATAAGTATCTAGTTTTCTACATCTCAATACCGATCAAGTGAGAGATCAAAGTCGCACATACTCGAAGATGTCTAAACTTGCCGCAGACAAGACGGAGCCTAAGAGTGGTGCCGCGCGACAACCAGATGACTCGCTTCAGTACGAGGAAGTAACAACTTTTGGCGACCCAGTTCCTGTTAAAAATGCAACTTTTGTTTCCACGGGCTCCGACTCAGATGAAGATGGATCCGCTTTTGCCAAAAATCCTTTTTTAGACCCCGATGTAAGGGAACACTGGACTGCGGTTTACGAAAAATCGCAATATGAATGTCGGCATGCCTTTGACCCCAATTTCACTTGGACTGAGGAGGAAGAGCGGCGATTGGTTCGAAGACTAGATTGGCGAGTTTGTCTCTGGGCTGTAAGTCTGGAATCTCGGAATCTTTTAGATCATTGTTGACAACATTCCAGTGTGTAATGTTCTTCGGTTTACAAGTCGATCGTGGGAACTTAACACAAGCCGTCGCAGATAATTTGTTGGATGACCTGAGCTTGAGTACAAATGGTACGTTGGTTATATATCTCCTCTTATATGGAAAGTGCTCTGGGGTTAACATTACCTAGATTACAACTTCGGCAACCAAATCTTTCTGTTCTCGTTCTTACTAGCCGAATTACCTTCACAGTTGATTTCCAAGAAGATTGGACCCGATAGATGGATTCCGATGCAGATAACCCTTTGGTCGGTAGTTGCCATGTCTCAGTGTGCGCTCAAAGGAAAATCTGGATTCTATGCCACACGGAGTATGCTGGGTCTTCTCGAGGTAGTTCTCACCATAAATTCCCAGCTTGACAGTTCGAAACTCACCAATTGATAGGGCGGGTTTATCCCAGACATCGTTTTGTGGCTATCATACTTTTATACTTCTAAGGAACTTCCTGTCCGACTCAGTTTCTTCTGGACTACACTTTCCGGAACCACTATCATCACATCGATTCTTGCTTTTGCTCTACTTCATCTACGGGGTGTATCAGGATGGGCAGGATGGCGTTGGCTGTTCCTAATTGAGGGCTTGATTACTTTGCTAGTTGGCCTTTCTTCTTTCTTCATGATGCCAGCGTCTGCAGTCCAAACGAAAGCATGGTTTCGACCAAAAGGCTGGTTTACTGATCGTGAGATATCCATCGTCGTCAATCGAGTTCTCCGAGATGACCCTTCAAAGGGCGATATGCACAACCGGCAAGCAATTACACCAAAGAAACTCTGGAACGCAGCAAAGGATTACGACCTTTGGCCACTGTATGCTATCGGGTTGATCGCATATATTCCTCAATCCCCACCTACTTCCTACATTACTCTCACCCTGAAGAACCTGGGTTTCAGCACATTCAACACCAACTTATTGACAATACCTTATTCAGCCTTCCACATTATCACGCTACTTCTTATTACACAACTATCTGAGCGCGTCAACGAAAGAACTCTGGTCTCCATGATACAACCGCTATGGACCCTCCCATGTATCATCGCGCTTCGCTTTTGGCCAGGTTCAGGAGTCCAGGCTTGGAACACATACGCACTAGTCACAGTGCTTCTCTCATATCCTTATTGCCACGCCATTCTCGTAGCATGGACTTCCAAAAATTCTAACAATGTTGGCACTCGCTCTGTTTCCTCTGCTCTGTACAACATGGCAGTGCAACTGGGAAATATCTGCGCAAACTTCATTTACAGAACTGATGATAAGCCGCTATATCATCGTGGTAATACGCAATTGATCATTATAAATATTGCGGCCATTGCAGTGTTCTTGTTTACGAAATTTTACTATATAATGAGGAACAAGCAGAGGGATAAGGTGTGGAATGCCATGACCGCCGAGGAACAGCAGGATTACAAGAGGAATACGAAATTGGCTGGGAGTTCAAGATTAGATTTTAGATTTGCGCATTAGATGGTAGGTAGATGGCCTTGCTTTGTGTTACGATCATCGATAATTATAGTTTGTACCTAAGATATCAACTACTTCTATGTCGAGATATGGCCATGTGAATGATTTTAGTTTGATGTCTGTTCTTTTTGCTTGGTTTTATTGCAGCACTAGTGTTGATGTGTATGCATGATTATTCTCATTTCTACTTTCCATCGCTTCTCATCTCCTGGGGTACAGGACGGAAAAATACTTGATGGCGCGTACTTAAGAGAGTGGAAGAGGAGCAATCACTTCTTACGAGGATTATATCGGATGGGAAATGTTCAAATCTAGCTAAGAAGTAGGAATGAGTAATCAGATCTGGTGTTGAACTGGGATGGGAATATGATATTAGAAAACTATCATCTGAACCTATAATTCAATCTCATATACCTTTCTCATAAATATCGTCCTGCTAGAAACAGCTCCTTCCACTTTACTTTGCATAACTTTAGACTGAAGGGGTGTTGTCTACTTGTAGGTAGCTCTCAGAAGCGGAAAAGGAGAGGTTTCGTGCCCACAAAATCTTGGATAAGTTAAACAGCGTTCGCTTATCTGAATGTAACGAGTGAAGATAGTAAGAGCAACAAAATGAAATATATTCCATTACCCTAATAATCAATAATTATCAAGCAAGAATGGTATACGCAGAAAAAACAACAGAACAATTCCTCCCAGACTTCGATGCAAACGTGAATACGCATGCAACGCTCCATACATATAAGTTAAAAAGAAAGACATTTCTGTACAAAACAGACGCTCGCTACCGCGGATTATATATAAATCATAACTCATAACTCGTCAATCATCAATCATAACCCAGCAACACTCATTAAATCCTCCACGCCATCAAAAGGGTCATCATCTGCATCTTCCACAACCCCTTTCATTGCTTCTCCCGCGTTTCTTTTGTCTTCTTCATCTGAATCGTCGTATCCTCCTGCATCGTTGACTGCATACTGTAATTCTTCGAATCCCATTGGGATGCCCTTCCATAGAGCTAGTTGTCTGGCTGTTCTGACGGCATGGCCGATTGCATGGCCGTTGAGCTTGTACTTAGCTAGCGTAGATATATTTGCGCGAAGCTCAGTGATGTTGATCGTAGAGGGATTGAAGAGAGATTCTAGTGATTCAAGCTGCGTGATGTGAGATTCCCATATCTTAGTTCGTTGGGTCAAAGTGAGAGGAGCATAGCGAAGGGAAAGCTGAATGCGGGATTTGAGCGCCTCGTCCACAGCAGAAATGGAAGAACTCGTCAAAATGACAATCCCGTTGTACGATTCAAGTGCCCGCAAAAATACAGAAACTAATGCGTTGCGACGAAGGTCTCCCAAAGTTCGTTTCTCGAGGAACAACTCGGCTTCTTCGAGGAGTATGACGCATTTCCAAACTCTTCCTAGATAAAAGATTTGTTGGAGAGATTTTTGTAAGGCCTCTGGTGTAGTTGCTATCTCGCTACATGGAACTATGTAGAGTGGTCTCTCGACTACTTCGGCTACACTTTCCGCTGTCATAGTTTTACCGGTGCCAGAAGAGCTATTGATCTATTGTTAGCCTAGAATTTGAAGGTCTGAGCTATATATCATTTACCCATGCAATAAAATGACTGAGCCAGTTCCCTTCCTGCCAGCGAGACTTGGACTTTGTTCGTCTTTGATTTGATTCGCGACTAAAGCTGTAATGAGAATCTTCATGTCGTTGTCTCCGGCCAATGTTTCAAATGCATCCTTGTTCCATTTGACCGCATACATGCGACTAACTTCGAGATCGACTAAGAAGCTAAATTAGCAAACGAGGCTATCATCAATGGGTCCGATGTTACATACCCCATTTCTTTTCTTGTATATTGAATCCAACAATCGTGTTAGGCAAAAGCAAGGTGAAAACTCCCTCTGGTGGCACGTCGGACGCCATGGCCAAGGGACCTAAATCATCACGATTGGGTGCTTTGGCGCCAGCAGATTTTGGGTGCAACTTCTTGTACGTCTTGATATCAACCATGTACCTGGACTGCCCCTGTGAGTGAACTTGATGTTAGCTAGCCTATTAAAGTAGACTTGATCATCGGAATTGCTTACAATGGTTTCTACAGACTCATCTTCTTCACTATAATATATGTAGCACGCGTTACGGAACTTCCAGAACATTTCTCCTTGTTTCCTAAGCGATGTGCCAATGGTGGGGTCGGCGTAGCGCATTGGGTAAGTTCCGAGAGCGGTGATTTTTATAATCTCTTCTGGCGTTTTGAAATCATCGATTGTAATCAATTCAACATTCTCTTGGAAGAGGCCATCAAATGACCAAGAAGATACGAGCAAGGAAGTTGTCAACGTAGCTGGCTCTCCAGTCCCATTCGTGCTTCCTGCTACTGGCAGATGAAGCCATGATTTAGTTAAGTAAGCTTTCGTCTTTCCTACATCATGTTTTTCAGTGCGTAGTATGACGGTGTCAGGGCTCTAGTAACGGTGTTAGTCGACTGTCAGTTTTGGTCCAAGAATTCACTTACGTAAAGATAGCACAAATATGTGCGCGTGATTTTCCCCTGACTTAGAAGCGCATCGACTACGGCATATTCGGGCCCAAAACTTTCGTTGACATATTCTACAAAAGAATTTACACGAGTCAAAAGCTCGGGTTTTAGCTGACGTCTTCGCTCTTCCAAAGGAGCTCTTTGATGATAAAACCATGGATATGGTGCCTTAAACTCAGTCCCAACATTAAATGAAGGGTAATATGGATTCTCTTGAATATTCTGCCTAGTAAGTCTTTTGAGACCGGCAGATAGCTCACTACCGACCAAGCACACTGACTCGCCTTCGAGGAACTCTGCAAGTTGACTCTCGTCATTTAAACCAGCTTGTTCCGAGTCTCCAGGTTGAAGTTTTATGTTATTCTCTGGCTTCAATAAGTCGATCTTGGATTTGCAGCAGGCATAGTCTTTGTATACAATAAAAGACAAATTTGTATATTGCTGCGTATGTAGAGCAATATTTCGTACAACCATGCTGCCATGAATATGGCCACTAGTGGGGCCGTCCTTCACCAGCCAAGGAGTATCCAAAAACATGTGGGTCTGCCCATTCTGATGGCATCTGACTCGATAAATCGTATGATAAGGTAAGGCTAACTTTTCTTGATTAGCATCCTGAGCGTCGGGCAAAAGCTTGCTTCTGGTCATTTCCAACATCTTGAAAAGGTCTTCGTCATGGCTATCCGATGGTGCATTGAATAGCTGGCAAAGCTGCGATCTCCAATCAACGAAATTATTATGGCGATGAAGGGTGGGCGACGACATCGATCCGTGGATTGCTGGTAATTGGTCAGTAGGCATTAGCAAATATGAACATCGATTTACTCACGTGGTCTACGGTTGTCCATAGCTTGCTCAAACTGATGTTCAGAACTATATCCTCCTGCATGACCACGAGTGGAATTTCCATGAGATTCTGGAGTGAAATTCGATGGATTAGGAATTGTAGTTGCTAGGACGAATTAGCATTGCCAATGAAAGATGCCAAAGAATAGAATCGAATTCATAACATACGCGGACTAAAATCTCCTTGAGAATTTTGATCATAGCCATAATTCGGGTGGCCCATATCATGCTCGTGACGGGGGCCATATGTTTCATGCCCGTGCCCTCCATGGTGGCCTTGTTGGACTGGTGCGATTTGTCCGGCTAGCGCATGGCCGAAAGTTTTGGGACTGCTGTGGGTATTATTCTGTGGCGCATATGACATTTGGCGGCGACTATTGCTTGACAGACTGTCGGGAGTTGGGTAATTCTTTTGCGGAATCCTATTGTTATGACTCCAGAGTTCTGAGCCATTCGCATGTGAGAGATCATGCCCCTGTTCTATGTTTTGTTGACTGGCATCTTGCCGCGACTGAGAAGAATATGACACAGGATGGAGTCTAGAAGATTGAGATCCCGACTCCGCTAACTGTAGAGCTGTTGATTCTTGAAGATTCTGGACAATATTGGTGTTATTCCGAGCAGGTTTAGGTGCCGCCCATTGCGTAGGTGCAGCCTGCGGCGATTGGGACTTTTGATGTGGAGGAGATGTGATCTGATTATGTCTGTATCTCTCCGAGAGCTGACCTGTGGGTGCATGAGTTTAGCTTCAAATTCTAGCCTCGGGTATTAAATATCTATACTCACTGTTCACAGATGGTTGTGTTCCAGAATTGGCCGTATTGTTCTCGAACGCCGATCTCTCGGCAGCCTGCTTATTAGCCGGTCCCCTGTTTCTATCTGCATATTGCCTGAGATTCGTTGTGTAGTTAGATCGAGTATTATTCGCTTGATAAGGCATGTGTGAATTAGAGAAGATAGGACCAGGACGAAAGTCAGATATTGGAGCTGTTGGAATAGGTGGTGGCGGAGAAGGAGTTATTTGCGTACTATCGAGCTGTCGTATTGATGGAGAGGGGGATCGAGGGGGATTTTCGGTGGGTGGAGAATCGGAGCGATTTCTGGGACGAGTATGGTGCCAGGAGTCAGGCCCATCTGTTATTTGACGTGTCTGCGGCAAAGACGGCTGCTGGGCACGATGCAATTGAGCAGCGTAATTTGTATGCTCTATTATAGGGCTTCCAGAGTTTCCAGGCGGCTTTCGATTGATCAGTCTGGGACTTCACTAGGTTACAAAAGAGGGAATTGGGAAGGCCTCCTTTCAATCAGACTCACTAGATATAGATTGTAGTTGTACTTTTCTGCTAATGTAGCAAGTAGCTTTTGTTCATCATCTTCACTTTCTCTACTTATATTTTGTGGCCCAAATTGTGCAACGTTGTCGATAACATTCTCATCTGCCTCGTCTGTGACAGTTGCTTGTGCTCGACGATTTCGAATGTATTCTTGAGCCTCGCGTTGTCTGTCCATTGCTTTTTCCGATGGGCTTGAATCTCGATGGGAAGTGTCGTTCTGCGTTGCAGGTCCTCGATCCATTTCCGAATAATGCTCTGAATCTCTCGCCTTATCAGAGGCAGCCACATCTATGTTCTCCATGTATGGACAATATTACAGCCTTGTTGCTTGGTATCAGAAGAAGTATCCACATGAAATGGGCCAATTTTTTGTATAACTGTTCTGCAGTAGTTTACTATGGGCTGGGAATTAGAAGCACGAATTAGATTTGTTGACGGATGATCACCTGCAGGTCTATTGGTGTCACTATGAAGATGCAGCTGGCAATACAAACAGAAGGGAAATTCTTTCGCAATGGGAAAGAAGGAAACTTCAGAACGAAAAGAAGGGAAGAAAAAAAACGAGGCTGTCAATCGAATGTGACGCATTTCGAGACCCATGCCTGCAGATTGCTGCCCTATGCATTGACTTGGTCGGGTCGGGCCCCACACATTACTGAATAAGGTCTATGCCAACGCACTGAACAGAGAGAAATCCCATCGGATGTTTTCATACAGCCTACAGGCTATTTGAGAAAGCACATCAGTACCAGATTTGAGATACGCGGCATGCGTAAAAGGCGGTCAAGAGTAATCAGTTTGTGGTAACGGGGCTGCCAGCCCCAGCGGGGTCAAAAGAGTGGGTTCTTGTAACTGAGATCCACCTCATGGTGAACACTTCGTGCATTTAAAATATAATAAGAACAGCAATGAAGGAATACATAAACTTAGCTTTATATTTTTGGGATAGGTGTGTATTTGATATCCAGTGTCTGTGACCACTGACTGTAGGCTTCACAAGATACTATACAAACAGGCCGTTGATATCGTAAAATGTATGCTGACAAAAAATGCAATGCGACGTTCCTTCAGGCCTGTATCGTGGGCCACTTGGCTTTTATTGGTCGAAGCAAAGCTTACATCTGTACGAGTGTATAACTTGTGGAAAGGCATCTTCAGATATGTACCCTAGGTAGTATCAAGATAATATCAATACTTACACAACAATGATTCGGAATAGATGATCATATCTGCTTGGTGGAGCGTTGATGAACATACGGAGTAAAACCTTTCATTGTGGGGGATGTGGCTAGGGAGAATTTTTAGACGTGGCTGTACTTCCTAAGCGACGTTATATGCCACTTTGTTTACTTTGATAACTTTAATAGTGTCCCATAAATGTGATATTGAATGATTATTGGTTCTACCACGCAATACTTAATCAATTGCAGTCAAGAGAAGAGAGAGAATAGAAATAAGAGTCCATTTAATAAAGATGTCAAGGTTCATTTAGACCTGCCCAAAAATTAGTGCTCAGAAAATGTATTTTCTCCATATTAAACACGTGATGTCTGCATGCTGGTTTGCACCCTATCTTCGGTAGATTCAAGGGGACAAGACAGATGTTGAAAATTGTGAATTTATCTGAAGGACCAGGCGGACAATCCAAAAGCAAAAAGAAATTCCGGTACGGGGAATTGAACCCCGGTCTCCCGCGACTTGATTGAAGCTCGAAAGTTTCTAATGAGAGGCGGAAATGCTAGCCACTACACCATGCCGGATAATTGATCTTGTAGTTATAATTTCTAAATTTAATCAAAAGTATATCCCTATCTGTCAAAGAGACAGAAATTTCTGACAAAATCTCGAGCCAATCACCACAAAACAATTGGTTGTGTTTTGTTGTTTAGTAATAGCTCTTAAATTTAGTTTCGTTTCGGTTAGGTGAGTGGGGAGGAGATTCAATTTAGCCGAAATATTACACGTGCTCAGAAACCACATGTGACAATATGATTAATGCCACTACAACGTCACTTCGAATTGAATAGGACCTCAAATGTATTGAAGTGTCTTAAGAGCTTATAAAAGGCACTATCATTCTTATATGGTCTATCGCAGAATTGATGATATTCAGATATTGAAGACCGATTTTAGCTTGTCCTTTCACCGAAAAGGAGGACGACAATGTGTGGGATTACATATCGTTAGCATCAGCATCATCGTTTGAAGAAGGCAGACTCAAAAGACCGAACAAGTGCTCGATCTAAAAGCGAATGCTTCAATCTATGAGTGTCTCATATGAACATCTATACTGTAAAGTCTTTCTTCGAGTTATTAATTGATAGAGTCTCATCTCAATGCCCTGAACTCTCACAGGGGTTCTTGAAAAGGGGCACAACTCTTATCACATCTGAGCAGTCTCTGAGTATATAACACTTCTCTCATTCCCATTTCTATTTACTCCTTTTCTCGCACTTTTCCTTCCAATTTTGACATTATCAATTTACAGCCTTGCATTCTACGCATCTTATTGGTCGCCCTTTTCACACACACTTCAAAGTTGTCAATCGCTTATTGGCCAAATTCTCAAGCCACATCGCCCTCTTCACAATCAAAAATATGCCTTACTATTCTCAACAAGATTCTTTCGCATACGAGATACCTACCCTCGACCAAACATGGCAATTGTTCTCTGGCGAAGAACTCTTCATTGGTGAAATAGAGAGCAACACTATCACAAACCATGTCTTTGATGCAGAACCCATAGCGAACTGGCAGATGCTTGACTCCAATAAAGATCATTCAAGTGGAGAGCTTTCCATTGGAAACGTCGAGTTCCAATTTCATGCAGAGCTTACGGCACATCACTGGCCGGTACCTATGGCCAGCCATTCTATGCAAGCCCCTTCGAATGAAGGATTTCTCAGCGAAACTCCCTCGACTCACCAGCTCTTACAACGCCCTTTTAATACGGAGCGCCCAGTCAATCAAATCATATATCCAGCTCTCAACCAACCTCTGTCCTACCCGTTATGGGAACAGAGAGGGGCAGGAAATGTTGGGTGAGTTTTTTTTTATTTATCCAATGCTGACCCTGGAGTAGTAAACAATCAGCATACAACCTACATACTATCACGGCTCTCCCGGAGGCTGTCTTGGAACCTCTACCCTCGGGTAACACAGATACGACTACCACCCCCACACCACCTCTCATCGCTGCCCCTGTTCATCCACTCACCGGCCGTTATCCCTGCTCCTATCCCACCTGCGCTCAGGACTTCGGGCGCTCATCCGATCGTGTTCGGCATATCTCATCAGTTCATCAACGCGGCCAGACAAATCAAGGAAAGAACCTCTGCCCTATTGTTGGATGTCGCCGCAGCTATGGGAAAGGACTTTGTCGTCCAGACAAAGTCAATGACCATTTGAAAAAGGTTCATGGTCTTGTCAGAGTTACTCCAAATGGCGGTGCCGCTTCTGCTGGCCCTTCTGCACATAGTACCGGTGATGGCTCCAATGTCGCCGGTGGGGCTGCTACTTTGGCCGGAAACGGAAATTAACAAAAAGAGGGCCCACCAAGGAGTGACTTTTGGTTTGACGCAGATATACGCAGTGTTGTTATTTCATGGGTCTCGAGCAGTTGGATAAGATATGGGGGATTTCTTTTCTTGGCGACGCTTTATTTAGATTTACGGCCTCTGGTAACGGTAGATAGCTTCTCATACTAAATACGAATGATTCCGGTACTCTACAATTCTCCACAACACTTTGTTTTCTCAATTCTATCCCTCTGAGATTCTCAATAGTTCATAATGCAGGCCCAAAACGATTCTATTCACTTAACTCTTTGAATATGGCTTTAATTCTTATTTCCCTTCAATATTTAGAGATAATTAAGAAATCCCCGCTGTTCAAGATGTAGATTCTAATCAGAGCATTCAAGCAATTGAGATCTAGTGCGGTCTGGGCTATTGAAACATGGTATTATGCTTGAGATACATCGATAATAGTCCGAAAGATCAGATCCTTTTTGGCTATAGATGGGAATACTCGTCATTTCGGATATCTTTTTGTTGCACCCGTACTAGAATATTTCCGAGTATATATAACAGTAGATACTACACCCCCTTCTTCTTCCTCGAAACGTGACCAGCCAGCAAAATGTAGCAGCTGTTGTACCCCGCTGCATTTAGGGTGGTAACCACGCTGCCGTGTAACAATCCTCCACCAATACGGCGCCGCCATGTTTTACTCTCGCTTTTATTTTGTGGCGATTGCCACATACTTGATGAACTTGTTTCCCTTTTTCTCTTTACCAAAACTAAATAAGTTATTGAAACCCAGCATTTGTACATGATTTCCTTTTACCCCGAAAGATTTCCTGTCAAAGAATACACTATTATTTGCGACTGCCGAGCATAACAAATTGCGAGCACAGGGGTGAGTTGCATAAATCAAACCTGCACCCTTATCTGAAGATTAGAATGTAGCATTTGTTCAAGTCTCCGGCCCCAAACAAATAATGAAACTGGTGTTAATCACTGCGAATTGCTTTGCATTTTGCTTAAGGATATCTCAACAGATCAATCATTTTTTACATACATCCTATCATCGTGACTCTATCACCGCCTGGGTCGAGCTCATACTGCCGAGCGATCCCGGACTTATAAATTCCAAGACATATCGGACACCACTGATTGACAGCAGATGGTCATATAAAATCAATATCTCGAAATGATGGCTTCTGAGTATGCAGGTGCTAGTGAGCGATATAACGGGGAGAATAGCGGACTAACAGACGGTGACAACGATGACGCGATGGCTCGCACAGTCGACAATATTGAAGATGAACTTGGGGATGGGGACGAGGACCCAAATCCTGGGATAAAGTAATGTGGTTTGGGAGGTACGAAAGGAAGGAATATGATGAGCTGCCTACTTCGTACGTAAAATGGATGGTGAACAAGTTTCTGGAGAGCCCAGATGCTGCTTCGCAAAATGTGTGTTTTCACCTTAGAATATATAAATCAAGACTAACGATCAACAATTTAGATCAAGGACTTCAAAGCGTTATACGATCGGAAGCAAGTCTGGAGTGAAGAGAATGCGTCCAAACTCCCGCCCCCCGGCAAGACAATTATGTGGTTCGGCACGCATCAAGGCACTGCTTTTGACAAATTGGAAGATAGATATGTGATGTGGCACATCAACAATTATCACAAAGACGGAGACAGCGCAGACTCAAATGTAAGATAAATCCATCCCATTTGTGAAAACAATAAGATGTCAGCCAACATTGTCAATTAGACCCGAAACTTCAAGGAACTATATGATAAACACAATTCATGGCTCGTTGCAAAAGGGATGCGCACGTGGGAAAGTCCAGGATCAATTCCGATTTGGTTTGGGGAGGACAAGGGTAGAGAGTTTCGAACAATATATAAATCTCAGTCTCAAAAGTGGAGTTGGCTTCTAGAAAATACCCAATGGGCCCCGATACTCAAAGCCATTGCTCGTGAGTTTGATGAATGGTTGCTGAAAAAACCGCTGCGACAACCTTCTTCGCGGAATAGACCAGCGATTGTGAATCCAGTTGGCGAGAGACTAGGGCCAGGTGACGATAGAGTAACTTCCGATGATGAGTCTTATATATCCGATGATGGCTTTGTGGTTCCTGATGAGGATGAGAGCTCTGATGAGGATGAAAGCTCTGATGAGGACGAAACAGGGGAGTTGGAGACTGACGAGGAAGTCGACGAATCAACCACAACTGAAGATTGTGAGGTCGATAAAAGCACATCTCCAAATCTCGATAGCGGCGAAAGCGATACGTTAGAAGAAGTGCTATCAGGAATACCGAGTGCTTCGAGGTCTTCCAAGCGAAAACCGCAAGAAATCTCTGAAGAATTTGCTTCTCTATCCGACAGTGGTGATGAGTCGGAAGCAATCGTCTCTCCCGGTAAACGTAGAATGACACGTAACCTTTCCAGTGCCCAAAAGAAGGCAGATTACATGCCTGAGAGCGATAGCGACGACTAACCAGCTTCACTCTCCGAGACGGACAAAGGCAGCGAATAAAGGTTCTGGAAAATGGCATTTTTCACGGCCGAAACCCCAAGAGACGAACTTTGATCACGAATCGAGAGATGTCATTCACCCATCTTCAAATGCAACAAAAAATCAGAAAGGCGATTCTAGTGTTTCCGATTCAGATGATCCATTGCTGATTGACCAAGAGATAAACTCAATCTTGTGCTCCCAAGCGTAGCAAAACTTCAAACCGAAACAGAGATACAGAGAGCACAGATTCAGAGACTATTCTGCGAGATCAATCAAAGGAAAAGATACAAAGAAGCATGATAAATGAAAAGGGTTGAAGGCATGATTGACAAGCATGTAGAATTCTATCTCATCTTGACTTTAAGAGTTGGGATCAAATAGTAGCAGGCATTTCATTTTCATGTGTGTGATAGCTGCACAGTCAGTGTGAGACATACCACAATAATGTTGAGAGGACGGCGGTTTTTATGTGTAGAAGGAATTTTGGGAATGGACTTGACGGTTAAGCAGTTCGCAATATGATAGACTATGAGCCTCTTCCCTCTTCATGGCAAATAAGTCAAATCCGCTATCATCGTACTCGTACTTAATTTTACTGAAAGGTGTAGCCTACAAAGTCTGAACATACATCATCAATCACCAGAATGTTTCTGCCCAAAGCGGTGAAACACTATAATCCCTATCGATCAAGACGGTGTTCGCGACAATTTGTAGATAATGAACAAACACAATGATCAGTTGACAACATAAAGGAGCGTAATACCATAGTATGGATCGAAATAAATCACCACTCAGATGCTCAAAAAATAATATCGCTCATGTTTCTCCGTGCACTTCGGAATGTAGCAGCTGAACCTTGCCTACGCATTCGCACTCTCCAACTTCACATTCGATTCTCAAGCAGTATGGCTTCCAAAGGTCGTAGCTATCAGGATGCAATCGCACTCCTGGATACCTTACAGTCCAATCGAACGATTGTATCCTCCATATCAAGTACCTCACAAGATATGAACCTGTATGCTATACCAGAAATGCTCGAATGGACACGCAAAGCGGGGTACGAGACTACAGATTTCTCAAGACGTGGACTAAAATGTATACACGTAGCTGGAACAAAGGGGAAGGGGAGTGTGTGCGCTATGGTAGATAATATTCTACAACAGTATCGCAGCGAAGAAAGTGACATTGGAGTCGTGCCAGGGAGTACTGAAAGAAAAGCTTTGGGGAAGATTGGGCTATACACCTCACCACACCTGATGTCAGTACGTGAAAGAATACGAATAGATGGCCTCCCCATATCCGAACCCCTATTTTCGCGGTATTTCTTCGAGCTTTGGGATCGATTCTCTGACGCCGCTTCCACATCTGCTACCCCGCATCCGAATCCTACGTCCCCTGAGACCAAGCCAGGGTATTTTCGATATCTCACAATCATGGCACTACATACATTTATGGAGGAAGGAGTAGAAACCGCCATTATGGAATGCGGTATTGGAGGGGAATATGATAGCACCAATATACTGCCTGCTGAAGCAGTTACTACCACCGCGATCACGAAACTCGGCATCGATCATGTTGGAATGCTGGGAAATACAATTGATAAGATTGCTTGGCACAAAGCTGGCATTATGAAACGAGGTATTCCGTCTTTTACAGTTCCTCAGCTTCAGGAAGCACAATCTGTTCTAGAAAGCCGCGCCAAGGAGAAGGATGTCAAATTGGAGGTTGTAAATCGATGTGCGAGGTTCAATGACGGAACTATTATATTGGGCGCTGAAGGAGAGTTTCAGAAGGACAATGCGAGTCTTGCAATGGCTGTTTCGGCATCACATTTGCGAGATCTATGTATTCAAAACGTGCCTACTCCTTCTGCATTACTATCTCTCCAACAACCGATTCCAGATAAATTTTTAGAGGGTCTGAAGACAATCAAATGGGCCGGTAGATGTGAAGTTGTGGTCACTGGTAAAATCACATGGCTCATCGATGGTGCTCACACAGTCGACAGTATCAAGGAGACTGGCCTTTGGTACGCTTCAAAACTTATCCAAGCTAGCGCGGAGGGAACTCTCCCAGCAAAAACCATGTTGATATTCAATCAACAAGAACGCGATCCAGACCCTCTTATTCGGACATTACTTGCGAGTATTAACATTTATTTCAAAGCGTTCACATTTGCTGCCTTTTGTACCAATACCCCTTTTAAGAGCGAAGCAAGTGAAAAAGAGATCAATGATCTCACCCAACAGAAATTGGCGTCTAAACTATATTCGAGTTTGGATCGTAATCCAATGTGTATGGAATATGCAAGTATTGAAGAAGCTGTAGAGCTTGCGCATAGGGCATCTGAAGACGAAGAAAGATTTTTCGTCCTGGTGACTGGAAGTTTGCATCTCGTTGGTGGTCTTATGAAGGTTCTTGAACAAAAGAGTAAAAAGGAGCGAGATATCTAGAGGCTCTCTCGATGCTGAACAGAATAATACTGGAGTTTGTTTTGATACCCATTTTTGATATAGACAATACAAGAACTGCGCTCACAGTAGGAAATTTATGATTTCAATATGTTTTATATGAAGGGGCATTGTTAGTGTGTTCATCGAAGTATTTGGCTATACTAGATTTGAATGCTAGACGGTAGCCTCACAATGAGAAAGCAAACTATTTGTAGGTAGTTCTATAGACAGTATGCCCTGATAATTAAATCATTTCTAAATTAACATATTGGTTGAACAATATCGTACACATCATACAAATTCGTGAATCACGTTATTCCTTTTCCCTTCCTCCGCATTTCCCTTTTAGATTTTGACGTTGAGGTACAGCCCAGTTCTTCGGTTTAACCATTTCATTTCACCACCTTCAATTCTTTACAGTGCATCCACCGATTCCAAACTTCCCAGCGCTCTACCAACCAGATGCACACTCCCCGTAATTAGAGCTTGAGCATGTACCTCATCCGTAGCCAAACCTCGGACGTATTCAAATGCATCTTCCACGCTTGGAAGAACTTGTACATCGGTTTCGAGGTTAAAATCAAGCGAGCGCCACTTTTCAGCAAAGGCTTTTTGCATCGTGAGTTCGGATATCGATTTAGGGTCGTAGGAAAGGTTAACGAAATCTGATGACGTCAGTAATGTAGTTGAGCATGCTGGTTATAAATAATTACCTTTCTTGGATGCATTTTCTTTTTGAATGGATGTTGTGCAGAATATTACATGGTCGAACTTTACGGATCCTTGAATTGCGCTATGAAGCCCCTCTAGCAATCCAATCGCTTCACGATGACCTTGTTGGTTGAAAATCAGAACTCGTGGGCCGTGCCTAAAGAAGGTCAGTTCCATGAACTCAATACCAAGGGATGAAACTTACTCCTTTGCGACCTCATCACCAAACCATTTTGCTGCGACAATGATACTATCTGCAGTATGTGCGCCATCCAGATACCAGGTGACATTTCCATCAACCTTTGTTTCGCATCTTCCACGCCAAACTACTTGTTCCAAAGCATCTACGAATTCTTGGGGTAGAGAATTCGAGGATGTACTGAATTTGGGGTTCAGTTTGTTTAAAACTGTTTCGGCCAGACAAATGGCAAGACTTGCATTCCCCCTCTGGAAATCTGCAGCCGGTTTTATTTTCACTGTCGTCAGTCTTGAATCTAAATCTACTACTTTGAAAGACTTCACCCCCTTTCCACAGCCCTCTTCTCTACTACTTTCATCGCTTCTGGCTTTTGATTCACTGTAAACGATGGCACCCCTGCTTTCTGAATTCCAGCTTTATGCCATGCAATTTTATCAATCGTGTCTCCCAGCGTAAACACATGATCGATCCCTAGCGATGATATACCCGTCACCGCGGGTCGATCCACAATATTCGTCGAATCATACTCGCCTCCAACCCCAACCTCATAGATTGCAGCATCGACGCCTTCTTGGAGAAAAACGTGATAAGACATCAAATTCAGGTATCTGAAATAGACAGGCTTCTCAAACGGTTCGCTCGGGGATGCCGCAGCTGCTTCCAGACGATCCCATACCTCAAAGAAGTATTTCGCAAACATAGGAGCTGATATGGGTGCTGAATTGATTCGAATTCTTTCCCGGACAGCAATGAGATGAGGTGATGTGAAAAGTCCAACCTTTTGGGGAAGATCATGTGACTTTCTATATCGATTCAATATAGAGTCAACATAGGCACACGTAGATCCTTTTCCTTTGGTACCGGCAACATGGACAATATTCAATCGTTCGAGATCATCTTGCTGGACGTGAGTCAGTGACAGCGAAATAGCAAGGGAGGTTGAAGAATACTGTATATCCAATTCGAGTCAGATGCTGTTTCATTTCCCGATTAGCTCCTTCATCGAGTTTGATCCCAGCTTCCCATCGTTTTTTGAGAACTTCGTATGGTGTTTGAAGTGTATTCAAGGCATTGATAGCATCCTAATTGATAGTGAGAAAAGAAGTCATGTATATAGCAATGTTTTGACAAAACGAACATCATAGGTCCTCTCTCCCATTGTGGCAATAGATTTTCGAGAATCTGAAGCGCATTTATTGAAGCGGAGATTTATAGAAGTGTTTCTTAGGGATCGGAGAGATGATCTAGAGAAAGAAGACCACATCACATGTCATATATAAATCTTTGTTGAGAGCTTGAAGATACAAATTTTGAGAAATGTGCAGCTCTGTTTTGCTTTGTCATCCACCGGTGATCGCTGATATGTTAAAGCAGCGCATAATCTTCAATAATCCCTCCCATTATCCCATCGCCGCTATGGTAGAATTCTTATCTAATCGTCGCATTTCATGACAAACGCATGGCTTTATCGTGAACACCGACCAGAGATGATAGTCTCAGATGAAGAAGAAATGCTAGCATAGTATTTACCACTTCCACTTCCGCTCCCTACTGGTCACAGTGATTTCCACGTTAGGGAACAAGCGCTCTGACAAACCGATCTTTAGGCAATTTTAAGGTTTTGCCATCAATTGATGGGATACGACGCAGAAGTGGGGTGAAAGTAGTGGCCGGGCTGGTGGTGTGCTTGCAAGGGAGATAGGTAGAAGTATTTACAATGTAGCTTATCACCGCCACTTCTCCTCAATATACTACTCATTGTTCATGAGATATGGCGCAAAGTATATCTCAAAGTGATAATACATCACAGATCAATGGCGATGGGCCTCAGAGATTCTCCATTGAGGATGTTGTACTTGAGAAGGGTATGCTGGAGGAGGCGGCAAATGAGCCTGTGGTTGTGAAGGTCGAAACTCGATTTTCGGAAAAGGAAGTGACGATACGACAAGTAGCCCCTATGGTCATCGTCTTAACAGGGGCAACGTTTCTTGTTGTGAGTACCAAATTTATGGATTGTTGAGAGGAAATCTAATGTTTCCCAGACAATCGCTGCTCAGGCTGTCATCATTATTTTACCCGAAATCTCTCGAGATCTTAATATTCCTCAAACTCGGCAACAATGGGTGCTATCTTCTTATGCATTGACTTCTGGCTCGTTCTTACTCCTATGGGGCAAGCTGGGAGATGTGTATGGCAGAAAACTGCTATTTATCCTAGGTGCACTTTTCACGTCTGCAACTTGTATAGCGACGGCCTTTTCGCCCGTTGAGATTTGTTTATATGTGATGCGGGCTTTGCACGGACTCGCATCGGCTATCACTATTCCTACAGCGATTGGCATTATAGGGCATACCATTCCACCTGGTCGAGTGAAAAACTATAGCTTCGCATTTTACTCTGGCGGAGCACCAATGGGTCAAGTTCTTGGCAATCTCATGGTGTGTATTCTCCAATTTTCGAAATCCACTGGCAGATCTAATTCATCATTTAGGGCGGGATCATCTCTCAATGGGCGAGTTGGAAAGTTGTCTTCTTTGTGATAGCTGGTGCTTCACTTACTATTGCTGTAAGTGCGATTTTTGTGGTTCCAAAAGAGCCACCTAAAGGTAATGAAGAAGATACAGCGCGCGCTTCGGGAGTAGATTGGATCGGGGCTTTCCTATTCACTGCTGGTCTACTTTTACTACTCGTAGGCTTATCTCAGGGAGGCTCATCTGGATAGCAGGAAGCTTCAGTCATTGCAATTATAGTCATATCTGGCTGTTTACTAATAGTATTTGTTCTATGGGAACACTATCGGGAAACCAAAACCACAAAGGAACCACTGATGAAAATATCGACGTTTCGTCATAAGCAATTCTCGATTGCTATGATCATCATCACCTTATTCTCGTCCGGCTTTACGAACTTTTGTCTTTACACAACTTACTAGTATGTCCTGAATTCAATTACGCGATTTCAGGGGCTAATTCAGATTCAGCTACCAAGACTTTCACCTTCTTGACCCTTTACAAACTGCACTTCGGTACATCCCACTGGGAGTAGTTGGTAGTAAGTTTTGCATATCTTTCACGAGAAATTGTTCTAACCTTTGATAACTTACAGTTCTTACCACTTTCGGATCCGGATACTTACTCGCTCGAATCAATGGCGATTACATTCTCAGTTTTGGTCTTGGCTCTGCCATGATTGCCAATCTACTATTTGCCGTACCAATACCTCCCAGCACATCATACTTCGCTTTTGGATTACCAGCAATGTCACTTGCAGCATTCGGCGCTGATACAGTCTATCCATGCCTCGGTCTATTTACAACCCAATCGCTTCCTCGAAAGGATCAATCAGTTGCAGGAGCTATGTTTCAGACTATGGCAGCCATTGGGCGATCTATGCCACTACCTATTACATCAGCAATTCAGCAATCTGTACAGTCAAAGGAGTTGAACAAAGGGGCGACCGAGATGCTAGCATTCTTGGCGGGATTGAGGGCTGTGGAATGGTTCTGCGTAGGTTGTATGGCAGCATCGCTGGCTATGACTATAATTGGGCTCAGAAATATTGGGAAGATTGGAATGTTAAAGAAACTAGGGGTTGCTAGGGACGCGAAAGAAGACGTGTAAAATTTGTGCAACTGCGAGCTATAGATCATATCATAGTATATATAGACTGTGATGATAATTAGATATAAATCCAACCATGAGATATGTCAGAGTATCGCTTAATCTCGAAGTCTCCCTACTTGCTACCCACCGACTGGTGTGATTCAACTGTCGGAGGCCTTGAAATATCTAGTCGCAATTCTCATCCTATAGCCAACCTGGAATTTTGAATTAGACAATGGAATATTACTGAAGTTGTAGAATGCTAATTCCAGTACAGTCATGCGCCGGGGTAGGGCTGTATTGCTGTATTCACAAGCGAGGCATTAGTCCTTTAGCTCGAGCGCTAATTTTAGGTCTAATTCTGTACAAGACCGGATTAACTATGGATTGATAGCTGACGTGCTCACAATGTCAAAACTAAATCTAATAATGGGGGGGGGTTTTTTTTCAAGAAAAAAATAAACTATCTTGGCAATAAGCTCTAAATCTCTAAAGATTGAGAGATCTGTTCTGTCGGTTTAGACCATCTAAATGGCTCAGCCGAAGGTACCTAGTACTAGCAGTCGCCAAGAACATTAGTCGTAAAAGCGCTCCGAGAGCCCATATAGTTATACTTATTAGTTTTGTAGTAGTAGTCTATAAACATATCAAAGGTTCAAATATCTAATACAAAGCACTATTTTTATTAGGCTTTGATACAATTAGAAAGCTGAGAGAAAATTTGTCAAGAAACCGTATAATAAAAAGACTAGGCCCAATAAATCTCGCCGCTAGCATCAATATTACGCGCGAGAAACTTCTCGAACTAGACCTCGTCAATCTCCTGTAAAAAATTCTTCACTCGAACTAGACTCCTAAGCCCAGTTGAGATTCTTCATCCAAACTAGACCTCGTAAATGCCTATCGAAATCCTTCACTATATTGAGTTTACATCAGTAAAATTCCACAGAAGTAATAGTTCAATCAATATTGACTACTTAGTCTTGTTAATAGAAATTCTTTGTCTACTTTTCTCTTTATATAGATAAAGTACATCATGTAAAATGAAACCATTGTAAGTTAATAGGTAAACATAATATATAGTTGACAAGCCCTAACCGAAAGTCTTATCTATACTGAAAGTTAATAGCTGCTGTATATAGGTACCTCGTACTAGCATTCGGATAAACTATAGTTGTTTTTCTATCTTGTTGATAAGAGGCTCCTAGACGAGTCCGATTATATAATTGAGGATTTCAATTTCGAAATCCTCTGACTGACTGATTTCGATTATACAACGAGTCAAGTCAACTTTTTGTGGACATTTCAATGAACATAGAGAGTTATAATACTCGATCAACTAAATTGAACCTCTAAAATATATCTAAAAATTATTTTTATTTTTATGTTCTTTGTTGCTACGTTCTTTATTACTTTCGCCATTTCTATACGGCGATTGTACAGGCTTCAGACCACCGTTGTCACCATAAAGACGACAAACAACGGCTTTGTCCGACCCATCCAACTCTCAAAATCTGGGACCTTGTTGGTCTATTTGCGCTTAAATCTTTATCTCCGGCCTAAATTCCGGCCCAAAAGACGACCCAAACTACGACATACAAAAAACCCAATGAGCAACCTTTGTGAACTTTACCACCATTCACAATCCGCCAGAACGCAAAACAGGCATTCATACTGTCATCGGCAATCAAACTTGGAAGTACGGCATAAGAGGTATCGCACAATGCAAAGGGGGCACATAGGGGAGCTATGGAACACACAAGAAAATCATAGAGAGTCTGCGGCGAGCCCACAGAAGATCTGCCAGAGTCTCCGACAATTGCGGACGACATCAGCATGAGATGTCTTTCCACCCACGGCCAATGAGGGCAGAATGAGCTACGAGCAAGATTCTCAAATCGTCCATTGGGAATCCTCAAATGAGGAACTCAACATAGTTTAGGACGTCGACATATCCTAAACCAACCATTGACACCTCCCTCAATAGAGCCAAACATACCTGCGTCCTCCAACTTCGAAGTTGTCTATCCAATCCCACAAAGTCGGCTTTGAGTGAGTGGAAAAGAGACGGAAATGCGGTTTTGATGGCCGTGACGAGGGATGCAGAAGTTGTGACCAGATAAGTATGGTTCTCAGATTCTCAAGTCAAGTAGAGAATCTTCGAATGCGCTCTCAGGGCAGGCTTTCTGATTCTTGTAGCCATGCAAGAGGAGAGAAGTATGGATCGATAATGTGGGTTTGTGGGTTTGATGGAGATTTCATTCAGATTTCAGTCGTCGTCAAAAAGCTAGACGGAGTACTAGGTACAGTGATATAGTCTTTTATTGGGCGTATCACCCTCTTTAGCTATCATATTCGTATCAAAGAAAACTGTATTAATTAGAAATTCAAGAACTTGTTATAATCAGCTTTGCATGTGTCGAAACGAATTATATCATTAGGATCGACTTTTTTATTGCGAAGTGGATTCCTAGAACTTTCTTCGTGTTGGTTGCATAGAAATGGCAGTTAAAATGCCATCGAAATGGTGGGAAGCCTGCCAAGGACTTTTACATGGCTCTTCACATGTTCGAATCCTACCCTGGGAATACCAAATGTTGGCATAACCTTTAGGACTAGAGACACTCTCGAGATAGCCAGGCCTGTCGTCTGTCTTGGCAGGCTGTCTCGCCTCAACACTTATTCTATGACCTGTGCCTTGGCTTAGCGCGACAGTTTTGGCTTCTTCGCAATCTTCTGTGACGGCGATTGCATTTTCGGGCTTATTGCCAGACCGGCGACCCAAATGACCTCTTTCTTTACTGTCTCTACTGAGGACGTGTTCAGCCCGAAGCCCGCCGTCGGGATGCGCGATGATGCTCCAGAGGCCATCCTCTCTTCCTTGATCTACAACTCCATACATTCGAGTTCTTATAGCAGATGCAGCGATTACGCTCAAATCACGTTCTTGCAATTTCTTAGTCTTTTCAACGATCATGCTGTCGGCGATCCTATTGAAGTCGATTCCAAAGTCCAAATTTGGCTCAAGTATTTCCTCGACATCACTCTCTTCGACTTCGAGTCCATTGTACCGATTCTCGAGTGGGAAATGCTTCTCAGGCTCGAGTTGTCTTTCTGACTCGAACAATTCTCCAGATTGGCACTGTCTCTTAGACGGTCTGACGTCAAGTACTTCCTCGTCAACCAGAGGTTCCTTCCTCTTCTTTGGCAGGGAAGTAGGCAACATTTGTGGCACATCCGGATATCTGGATGGATTTCTATGGGCCTGATAGCCTACATGGCTAGCTCTCATTTCTAGTTTCTCACGAGTGCCAACATGATATCTCTCATGCTGTCTTTGTCTCACAGATTCGCTAATATATCTGCTCGATTGAACCTGAGGACTGGGTTGAAAGCCCGTGTGCATGTGTTTCGAAGGGGTGTTATCCCTGTATGGTTGCATGGATGCCAGCATAGGACCTTTGTCTTGCATCATCGCGCGGATGTCGGAAGCCTCATACTCGAAAAGGTTTGTTCTCAGATTAGGTACGCCGATTTCTGCATTATCGAATACTGAGCGTCTATTCGTATTGCAGTAATTTTGTTCGAAACCCATCTGCGACCCATACTTCTCAGCATTGCCATCAGCCAAGTTCGATTTCTCATTATTGACACCATTTTCGACCTGCATCTGGGATTGAGGGAGATTCTTGATATGGTCAGGATAGTCGGATGAATCGTCCACTGAGTCGTATCCAGTCTGAGATTCACACTCGGTTTCGATGTTATTGCCCATTGGATAGTCGTCGTCTACACCAGCATCGTCGTCATCGTCACCGTCACTCGCGCTTTTTTTGTATCCATTAGCCGGATTTAAAGAGGATCCTGGGTGGTTAATCGAGTTTTCTTTGATGGCTTCGCCTGTCTCGAGACTGATCAGGCCATTTGCTAGCTTTTGCAAATATTCGCCCTTCTTTCCAGGTTTGTTATACTCTGCCCACATCTTGTTAGCATATTTGTTCGAGGCTACCCTCGAGCGTTTTCGCGCCTCCCAATCTTGGAGTACTTGTCCACCAGCTTCTTTCGCCCTCTTGCCTTCTTGTCTGGCATTTTCTTCAACATAATTCTTGATGTTTTCCGGAATTGTTTCGTTTAACATCGCCAGAAGCATCCTATCGCCTGTCCATAGACGTCCGTCTCTCTTCACCAGGACCCTATTGATCATATCTATCGCGCTTTGAGTGCGACGTGTGGCTCGCGGCTTTCCAGCTGCCTTCTTCTTGAGCTCCTGCATATGTCTGCATTTATAAATTAGCTACCACCATCGATTTCTGGAACATAGTAAAAAGCAGGTCAAGTCTTACCGTCCTACAATCTGCGCGTCAACGCCATTGGTCATTATTCGCCGATTTTTTGGCGATGGTCCCTTTGTCCAACCCTCAGTGTCAAGTTCGTTATTGCATAATTCTGCAATCTCTCCGCTTGTCAAATTCAGATCTCCATTGACATTGTTATTATTGAAATAATTGTCAAGCCACGCCACGTGTCTCTCGGTTTTAGGCATCTTGACTATAAATTGAGCACTTGATAGCTATTTAGGATCTTGATGTGGTCGAGAGGTATTCTGAAAATTGATCTAGATAATCGACAGGGATGCAGTTGGTTGTTATTGATAAAACCTAGTCCTTCGTCCAAAGTCAGATCTGATGACTCCCTCATTAATTTTTTGAAGGACGAAAAGTTACTCGCCTTCTACTGTTCTTGTGGGGTGATTTACTTGAAATTCTGCGCAACTGATAATTTGTGAAAGGTTGTCATGTGTGCGTAAACAAATCTCCTGGTCGCGATAGAATTTCTTAAACGCAATTGAATCAAGTTATCCTGGTTGAATCAAGTTGACCTGGTGACTTTATTCGTCTAATCCCGATGCCGACTTTCTTCTACCTCGAATTTGTTCAAAAAGGTTTCTTGTAAGGTTGTGATTATAGTTAATCAAGATATAGAAATCAAATGATTGAAGTTGTGTGCATTTTTATTTAGAAGTGGGTGGTAAAATAGATGTTCGTATTGAGACGCGATAAACCTTTGATATGATGAAATCGTTAATCTCCATATCGCTTATTTTTTTGGGTCTAATGCCTCGTTCTTATCAGAATTGGTTGCCAAGGCATCTCTGCCCGTAACGGGGTGCGATCTCGAAAATCCGATCACTCAAAAAACAGGCACAAAGCCGCGGACCACAACTATCGCAGAAATCCCAAGTTTGGGAGTCTAAGTTGGAGGATTAAGATGGAGATTCAAAGGTTTGCAAATCTGGTCAATACGATAGAATGAGTTCCTCCTTATTCTTGCGTAGTGGCCTAAACTACGTTCAGCATCTATGAGACAGAACTGACTGCGAGCTTCGCATCGATAGTTTTCCCTTCACAGTTGATTCTACAACTATCAATACCGATTGCTAGGTATCTTCCGAAACTTGCCTCGATTCTTACCATTCTCCTCCACCGAACACAGTCAGGCTAGCCTTTGAGGAGGACGGAAGTTATTACACTTCTGGTGGTGTTATTTTGAGGTTCAGGCACATAGAAGTCCATTATATATACACAATTGAAACTCAGGGTCAAATAGACATCACAGTTGATGGAATTTGTTATAATTCTGAACAAAATACTTTGATAATCTGTGATTTGTGTAAATCTTGCAGGTACATCATAAACAGATCATGGTAAATTCTACAAGATCCGTGGTATTATCTATACTGTAATAGCCCAATTCAAACAGACAATGTGCGCCGGGTATCTTCAATTCTGCCCAAGCCTTGAAACAGTGCAGTCCTTTCCTCCATGTATTATATATCCAATTTTATAGAATCACGGTGTTCCCATCTTTTACCAGTGATTGCTCCCAGGTCCACCTTGCCGAGATCAATTGTTACCATCGAGATTGGGCGGATCCCAATCCTCGAAAAGGCCGTCGTTGCCCAAGAATGCCGAGTAGTCAAACTCTCCGTTGTGCAGAAATGCCTGCTCTAGAGCATTTATGTACGGCACAGGAAGCACATCCTCGAAGTTTTCGATATCTTGCACATTCGGAGCATAGACTGGAGCTATTTGAGAGAACGACTCAAAATCCTGAGCTTCTCCTTGTGGGAAAGTAGAATCCTGTTGTGGTTGATGTCCTTGGACTTCCAAATCGGTTTCCCAATTCCCATCTAAGCTCCCAGATCTATTGTTAACTGTAGGACTTGGCGCTCTTGAGTTAGGAGCTGCATCGTACTGTTGTGCCGCAGGATCTGGAATGTTAGCAGCAGCATGCTGTTGTGGATGCGTTACGCTCTGTGTCATGTCGCCCAGACTTTCTTGCATGAGCGGTTCGAAGGCGACAAATGATTGTCCAGAACTATCTTCGAAGCTATTATTAGGACCACTTTGCTCAGATCTGAAGAGGAGAGGGTCGAGAGGTTGTGCTTCGAAGTCCGAACCTCGGACATCAGGAGTTCGGATATTGGGAGTTCGGATATTAGGAGACTGCAACGTCCAAAGGTCAGTAAATTATCCATCAAGAAACACTTACAAAAAAATTGAAGAACCCAGAGGTGTATAAAGAAGTGGGAGGGTGCAGGAGAATGAAAGGAGTGTGATGGTATCAAATGAAAGAACCAATCAAACTTACTGTCGCTCCTACTTCAACTATCTCTCCCTCATAAGGACTGCTATGGCTGATATTCAGCCTTGAAGGTGGAGGCGGAGACCATCTCAGGCCACTGTGATCGAAAGACGAATTCATTGAGTCATCAGTCCCGTTTCCGGAAGTTCTTCGACTCTGGGACTGGCCAGCTATTGGTCGTCGACGGGTCTTTTGGACCGGTCTCGAAGCCCTCAGTCTCTTAGCTGGCTCTCTGGTGACTCTCATTTTACCCTCAACTCCAGCAAGCATTCGACTTTCAGACGAGGTAGAAAATTGAGAATCGGAGACTTGACGAGGTCGCTTTCTAAGATGTGCGGCGTATGGCCCCTGGTTGAGTTCGTCGTCATCAGGAATCGACTTTCTCTTTCGGGCGGGACCATTAGACTGGGGAAAATTCTCATCAAACGATTGTCCAGCCCGACTCTCTAGGGCCTGAGGATATGCACGCATGTATCGCTCAGCATGAAGTTGAGTAACTGGAGGATAGAAGGGCTCATATTTACCCTGCCATTGATCCTGATCCTGAAGTTCTCCATCGTCCTGATCGGGAAACTCATCTTGTGTAATTCCAGACTGATAATTTGGAGGCATGCCATAGTTGTATTGATCTGGCACAGCCTGGTTAATGCGATCGAGTAATTCTGGTACCACATCTTGAGACATGGTGTTGGCGATATATGCTCCTGGCTGAGCTGTCTGTCGAGGGGCTGGTTGAACAGCACTCACTTGGTAGCTCCTCCCTGCTGCGTAACTACTGATACCCGAGTTCATGGACTTTGAATCTTGGGCCTGAGTATATATGGGCATTGATTGTGGCCCGTATTGTGCTTGTCGAGGAACCGGACTTTGAGGCGGTGCCTGCACATTCGAGTAATCATATTGCTCATACTGGCTCAAATGGTTATATGGCTGTGGTTGCATATCCGGACAACCACCTTGATTATGTTGATGCCCAGATTGATAGTCGGGGCCGGGAACAATTGTTGTGCCAGGTGCCAAGGTTCCTAGATTAGGATTTTCGCCCGTGTTGTTTATAGGGTCACTTGCCGGTGCATTAACCAAGTTGTTTACCGCTTGACCAATTGCGGCACCAGTCACCATATCGATCTCGCCGTTCATCAACTTCTGAACATAACCAACTGGATCTGCAAAATATGCCTTCCACATCTTGGTCGAATATTTGTTGCTGCCGGGGTTTGGACCGACAGGACCTCCGCCTGCTTTCTTCAGCATCTTCGCCTTTTGCTCGAACCAATTCTTGATCTTCCTGTAGCTTAAATCAGTTCGGTACATCAAGATCATCCTCTCTCCTGCGGATGGATAATGATTCTGGCGGTAGGCTGCTTCGAGGATGTCTACTTGCCACGCCTTGTTGCGTTCGGCTCGAGGTTGATTACGCGCGCGTCTTCGACATTCGCTGATATGTCTGTGTGTTATGTTAGCTTCATGACTAATCCTGAGAATAAGTGTTAACTCATACCTTCCGACAATTTGTGAATCGACACCATCAACACCTGGAGTTGTTGGTGGGATGTGTGCTGCGTTGCATCTAATCGCAGTCTGTTTTGTTGGCTCCGTCAAGATGTCGGGATTGGGGAGACTGTTGAAGTAGTTGTTGAGAAAGACGATGTGTTGGTAGTCTTTAGGCATCTTGTCTATTTCTCTTTTGATTGTCAGCCCAGATTCGAAGGATTGATAGAATTAGAATATGATTTGTGTCTTACCGGTGTTTGTAAGGTTAATCTGATAGTGATAAAGATGTGTGAGATACTTTCTTAATATCTCACTTCATCAAAAAAGTTAGCCTTTCATCCATGAGACAAACTTGATATCCTAAGAGGATATGGAAATATTATGAGAATGTTCTAACCTTCAAAAGTCTGTTAACTTCGGTTGCGAAATGATTCCTCACAGAAAATGCGAGTAATGTGGCTGGTGAACAGCGTCTGGTATTCACCTTGGATTATTCCTGATGAGAATAATATTTTTATCGGAGTTCCTCGCGAATTCGGTGATTGCTTTGCGGGGAAAGACTCGTAGGGCTGAGAGGTTTTGAGAAGAAAGACAACTTGCGTTGAAGGTGATAGGTTTTTATGTCAAGTTGAAGAGACCAGAAGTAGTCAAAGTGAAGGGTTGCTATCTTGTTGGAAAGCCCTTTAGATATCCAAAAGTATGTGTTAATGGTTTTCTCAAAGGTCGCATGTTGAGAAGCTTATATCTAAGGAGAGCCTTGAAGTTGTTGATGCTTCAATCACTAGCGCGATGTATTGTTGCTAGCGCAACCGTTGGAACATTGAAGCCAGAGAGGAAGTATGGCAGAGATGGTTGTTACGGTTTTTTTGACCCGTACGCCTCGAGGTTTACGGTGTTGTTGACAGTACAGGCTTATTTATATATGGCACATGATTTCTAATACATGGAATTTGGACAGTCTCCAAGGAGTAGCTAGAGCCTGGTTGAGATATATCCATTTAGCTATTTCGTGACGTTGTTGACTGTCTACTCGAGAGGTACCAATGTGGTTCTTAGTTGCGATTCTTATGATTCTCCAGTTAACACGACCTGTCTTATCTGCCCGAGCGTAGGTATTCCTCTGCTTTTATACGTGACCTTTTTCTACTTTCCTTCTACTCACTGACTACCTTGTGCGAATCCTGAATATGTTGCTACACCTTTCTGCCATCGATCATAGCCAAGATTCATCCCTTCATAGAATACGCGAGATCTTGATGTAGATTGGCATTCTATTAACAGACATTCAATCTATTGACGACCTCGATCAAGCGCTTTTTACGAGCATACCAAGACAGCATCTATGTACCAGCGGGAACATACAAAGCGAAAGAGAATCGAATCGATAGAAGACAATAGAGAGATAGAGAGCATATGCGACAAACCTAGATTAGATAGCAGAGAAAGATAGATCCAGCCAAGAGAAGACAAAGAGAAGGGCAACTCGACCTCAAGTTAAGCAGTTAGTTTGATAATCCATTTCCGAAGTAAGACCATACTTATCAAGCCGCATGCTCACTCTCATGTAAAGAGTTTCTCTCTTAGCCCCTCTAATGTTGGCAAGTTCCCTTTCCATTCCAATTATCCACGACCATCCTCCCAGAGCACATCGCGGTATCCCAAAGGTATAAGGTCTGCAGCAACATAAAGAACGTGATGATAGACATCAAAAGAATACATGAAGGGGTACAAAGGAAGGTAGAACTAGGAATGAATGCAAAGTGGAACGAGTAATTCCCGCACATACATGACGAGAGATGGAACCTCGATCGATCGCCCTACCTCATATCCTTGTATGATTACTATTTGTTACCTTACTCCTACCAATTTTCTCATTAGCAATATGCAGACACCTCATGGACTATTGATATCCTGCCGCTACGAATATGTACGAAGTCATTCATCTCGAGCCTTCGCGACCATTTCGATGGCTCTGCGATTCAGATTGTACATTTGGTTAGTCACTCTTTCTCCCTCCCCCCTTTCAACGACAATTCTCTTGCTCATACAATTCGCTTCAGAGCGCTATAGTTTCTGCATCAGATGCGAAGCGAACCTTTTCGTATAGTCTCTGTTGTACAGCCAGATTCAGGTTAACTGAACTACCAAGTCTGAACTTCAGAGCAGCGATCCAAAACGTATCGTCAAGCTACGGCCGTACATATCATAATACGAGAAGAGGGATCAGTATAGCAAAGATGGTCTACAATCTATCACGCGAGAGTGGTGGATGAGAAGAATAGGACCCAAAAGCGAGGACCAGGGTTTGAAAATCTCCAAATTGATAGGAATGAATGGATGTAAGAGAAATATGGCCTAGTATAGTCATAAGTATGGAGTTTGTTGCAGTTCCATCATATGCGAGGTAGATACTACGTCCAAGTGCTAATGTATTCAAATGATAGGTTCACAGATGTAAAATGATGCAGAAATATACTGCAGCACGATCTACAACACTAAATAATCTAAAGACTGGAGCCTGCGGATGAATAATGGATGGAAACATATAGATACGCTGTATTGGCATCATCAACACGGCATCTAGTCCATGCTACTTGAGAGGGAAAGTATCGCAGGTCGGCGAGAAACCTGAAAGCAGCACGTTAGCATAAATATGCGCACTTCACGAGAAATAAAAGGAGTGGACGAAATGGTACATTATGCAGGCAAGAAAGTATACATGCTGCGACTCTATCCAGTATGCTCAATTATCATTCTAGAATGTAGAAGTCGCTCTACTTGTTTTGATTGGAGCGCTAGATAAGGGGGTTAGCGACTCAGCACGGGCCTTTGTCGGCCTTCAAGTGTCTGGTTCCTTTCAGAATCAGCAATTACCGTTATAGAGTTGTGACTGGAGTCATAGTTCGTGACGGATTTACTAACTGGTAAATTTCTGTAGCTCTCTAGTGGGAGTTGAGAAGAGGGGAGCATAAATTGGACGAAAATTCACAATCTTGAAAAGAGTTTGACTACTTCATCATGCCTTTGATGGTGTAACCTTGAATTGAATAAGCCTAAAGTGATACTATTTCTGTGTAATTAAACCTAACGAGACTTTTATGTCACAATCTGAAATCATCTACATTCCCATTTATCATTAGTATGACGGATTTGCTGGCCTCTTAATTAGACGCCGATCCGTAAGTTGTCGTCGGGCCATGTTGAACCAAGATATCGTCCTCTTTGAAAGTTGTTGCACGCCCATAATCATTATGTGCTATCTCTTCCAGACTCAATCCTTGAGTTTCGCGCAAGAAAAAGAATGATACAACTGCAATTATGCCATCGAATAGACCCCAGAGTAGGAATGTACCCCTAGCTGTGTGTTAGTTCTCCGCAAAATATAGATTCGAGTGTTTATGTGTGTTTTACTTACCATCCAAGGTTCTCGATCATGTACGGAGTCGTTAAGGAGAAAACGAAGTTGAAAAGCCATTGGGATGAAACTCCAATTGCAATACCCGGTTCTCTGATTCTCGTTGGGAAGATTCTGCATCAGAAATTAGCAAAATACAAGGTCATGAATGCACGGGTAGAAAGTTCTTACTCAGACACATATGGCCATGGCAGTGGTCCCCATGAAAGATTGTATGCAATAACAAACATGTAGATGAGAGCCACTGTTGCAATTCCACTACTTGTGACACCCGCAGTCTTTGTAGCTGGAAGCTCTTTGACCACGACTGCAGTCGTAATCTGACAAGCACTCATGAATACTGCTCCGCCAATCAAAGCTGCTCGTCGACCAATGCGATTGGAAAGGAAGAGTACAAAGATTCCACACGCTACAATTTTGATTGCACCGAAGATGGCAGTCAGCAGTAAATCCCGATTTCCACCGCCGACCAGCAGCTTGAAATATTGGGGCCCATAATAAGCAAAAGCTGTTGCACCTGTAGCTTGTTGAGCTGTGAAAATGGCGAACGCTGTGAAAATACGATTGAAGTTATCCCTTTCAACAAGTTCTATGGAACATTAGTATCTACTTCACTTTGTTAAGAAGATGAGGAAACATACCCTTCAAGTGAAACCCTTCGGTAGCTCTCTGTTCCATTTCGACGCCTACACGAATTTCCTCCATCTCTTCGATCGTAGCTTGCGATTCATCTGCTCGAATCCACTTCAAACTTTCCCAAGCCTCGTCATGTCTTCCTTTCTTGGTAAGCCAACGAGTACTTTCCTTCAGAGTAAACATTCCCAAACCAAGAAGACAAGCTGGTATAATCTGGAGACCGATGGGAATCTGCCATTGCCTGGACACAGAAGGGACTACTTCTGCCATAGCATAGTCAACCCAATACGAAGTAAAAATTCCTATACTAATGTTAGATTCTATTCGGGTGCTTGTTTATGACTCCACTGAAACTAACCAAAAGTGTAAAACCATTGAAAAAAGCTCCCAATCTGTCCTCGCAATTCTTTCGGTGCCATCTCCGCATTAAACATTGGAACAACCACACTTGCAGCTCCAAGACCGACGCCAGCGATAACTCTCCCGGCATAAAATACTGCCATGCTATGAGAATTGACAGTCTCCATTATGGCACCAATAATGAAAATAAACGAAGCGATTTGTAATGATAGTTTGCGCCCAATGCGATCCGCAATGGGCCATATGAAGAAACATGCTACAAAAGCACCCGCTTGTTGGAGGCCAACAGCAAGAGAACTCACGCGAGTTGCATGAGCGGTCGAGTATTTGAAATCATTTACGAAAGATTTGAGAGTCAAGACTCCACCTATTCATCGTTAAAATTCCGTACTTATACTACTGCGCTGACTTTATCACGATGTACTTACCAACACTATATGACTGTTAGTAAAACAAACAATCGAGCAAACACACAAGCAGGTGAGTAAGAAATGAAGGGATACACACATGCCACTATCATAGCCAAATAGAAATCCTCCCATACAAACTACGCTTGCCAGCCAGTACGCTCGTACTTTGCCAAGTGTTGAATTCTTCATGATGACTACCTTGGTCAAAAATTAGACAAGATCTAGATATTCCACATTACAATGCTAGATCTTCGGGACTTTCATCTAGTTGTATATAGTCGAAGCAAATTTCAGTCATTTCCAGCATTCTGCTTTTCGTATGCGTATCTCATGTGGTCATCACAAGCATTAATCACGTCTTGACAAGCATATCCAATTCGATGACGAGGTTGCATGGTATGGGGAAGAGCAACAAGGGGGAGCGATCTATTTTACTGGACCGCGCAATCCATTTCGTGCGGGGTACATTGGTGTTGTCTGATATCCATTTGATTGGATCAAAATAGATTATGCTCCACTTTTATGGTCAGTGATTATGGAATTATACTTCCGAAGACTGCAACATCATCTAAGATTGAAACTACTGCACATGTCTTGGTGATCAATCTATCTGTGAATATATTTAGTCTCCTGCGCCAATCATGGAGCATTCATGGAAGTACTCAGTCCACTCTCTTACGAATACTTGTGGAGTGCAACGCGACGAACATGCCGCTAATGCTCTGACACTTGGTCAACAGAAGGAACATCATCTGATCTTTTGTGAGTACAATAATGGGAGTTTATTCGAGGTAAGATTTCCTTGGTTGCAAAGCAGACGGACTCAACATCAAACTCGTGCCATATTCTCCTTTTCTCTCTCTTGTCTTTGTAATTCTTTGGAATCGAGCTACAAACATCATACCAGACTTGAGCCTCACTCCACCCCCGATTCACAATGCCCTCCCCGAAACGTCCCAACTTCCTCGTAATTGTCGCCGATGACTTAGGATTCTCGGATCTCTCGTGCTTCGGAGGGGAAATCAACACTCCAAACATCGACAAAATAGCACAAGCCGGAATCCGCTTCACGGATTTCCATGCTGCAGCCGCATGTTCTCCATCACGAGCAATGATAATGACAGGCACCGATCATCATATTGCCGGTCTCGGAAATTTGATCGAGTGGACCAATATTTCTGGGCAAAATGATCCAAGTGGGAAGATGTCAACGGCGCCACAGAGAGGCATGCCAGGGTATGAAGGGTACTTGAATGAGAAGGTTGCTACTTTACCAGAAATTCTGAGAGACGATGGATATTTGACTTTGGTATATTTGATTTCCCTTCTTTTCTCTCCTCATGATAATTACCATCATGATAACGTGCTACTTGAGATTGAGCTAACCCGCCCAGATGGCTGGAAAGTGGCACCTCGGTCTAACCCCTGAGCGTTCCCCAAAAGCTCGTGGATTTGAGCGAAGCTTTGCTCATCTGCCCGCCTGTAGCAATCATTATGGCTACGAACCTCAACTCCATGCTCCCGATCAAATCCCCGAGTTTATGACTATGAGTTTCATAGCACTCCACAGTGAAGATGGAGAATATGTCAAGAAGTTACCCGAGGATTGGTACTCAAGTAATGGGTATGGAGATAAGATGCTTGAATATCTAGAAGAGAAAAATGAAAAGAAAGATGAGAGACCTTTCTTTGGTTACTTCCCTTTCACGGCTCCTCATTGGCCGTTGCAAGCCCCGCCAGAATTTGTGGCGAAGTATAAAGGAGTGTATGATGCGGGACCCGATGCGCTTCGTTTGCAGCGTCTTCAACGACTTAAAGATCTCGGGTTGATATCTCCAGATGTGGAGCCCCATCCCGTTGTTGCAGACGAAGTGAAAGAATGGAACGATCTCACTGCCGAAGAAAAAACAAAGTCATGTAAAGCAATGGAAGTATTCGCTGCGATGGTTGAATGTATCGACTATAACGTTGGACGCGTGGTCAAGTATCTAGAGGATACTGGAGAGCTCGATAACACTTTCATATGCTTCATGTCAGACAATGGTGCCGAAGGTGCTGCTTATGAAGCCTACCCTATTGTCCAAGGAAGCATGATCCAACACTTACAAAAATACTATAATAATAGTTTAGAGAATCTCGGTAACGGAGATAGTTTCATCTGGTACGGGCCACGCTGGGCACAAGCTGCCACAGCACCCAGTCGTCTTTACAAAGCCTATACCACCGAAGGGGGTGTTCGAATTCCCTTCGTTGCTCAATTCCCCTCAAATTTCAATACCCATTCTTCCAATAGTATAACGCACAATTTCGCCACCGTAATGGATCTCGCGCCCACTATCCTCGAAATGGCCGGAACCCAGCACCCGGCGCCCACATATCAAGGAAGAGAAATCGTACCTATGCGTGGTAAATCCATGCTGCCCTTCATATCCGGCACATCCCCCCGCATTCATGCTGAAGACTTCATCTCCGGCTGGGAAACATGCGGTCGGGCTGCTTTGCGCAAAGGATCTTGGAAAATCGTATTTATACCTAAGCCTAAGGGAACCGAAAAATGGCAATTATATAATCTCTCTGTTGACCCTGGAGAGATACACGATCTGGCTGATGAGCAGCCGGAGAAATTGAAAGAGTTGATCAAACTTTGGGATGAATATGTATTGGAGACGGGAGTTGTACCTCTTGCACCTGAGTTAGGAAATTGGTTGAAGGCGACGGAGGAACAGATGCCAGAGAACGTGTGGATGGAGTATGAGTATTGGAAAGATGGAGCGAGGGACGAGCCGGAAAAGTTTAGAAGGGATGTACCGAGGTTTGAGAGGATTGTTACAGGTTTTTGAGGGGGGCATTGGGAGGGGTACGAATACAATCATTTTCGTAGTTTGATTCTCCGAGCTAACACAAACCCCTCATAATTACCTGGTATATGCTCATTGTCTTATGACTGCGTATTGCATAGCCAGTATCAAATGCTTGTTTTCATACCTACATACTGTACGAACTATCAAAATTAAGATATCAAAGCTAGTGCTTTCAAATAAACACAAATATGAAGACCAGAACGATAACAGTCATCACTCACATCGATTGTTTAATCACCTATCATAAACTAGCTTTATCTCGCAATTCCTCATGTAAATTAGTGATCGTTTTGTTGATCCTATGCTAGTATCCTTCAACCATAAGGAGCCATCGAGCTACATTTCTCTGGTCTCATTGGACCGCAGTTATACATGCTTCCCACCCACCCATCCTCTCAAACAGAAAGTGAAATTCTATCTAAAATACCTCTGATCTATGCGCACAAGATAGCAGAAGTGAGTGTTCTTATGAATTTAGCAACAAGCACAAAGATATCGATATACTGCATACATAAAGAGGGAAGGTTAGTGTGTACACAGGGCATGAAGAAGAGGGAAGAACAAACCTACTGCAGGTATTTACATATTCAAGATCTCTTCTTTTGATATTGTCGTTCCCAACAGCAATGGGATAAGGAAGCCTTTTGAGTATCTGAAGGTTGATGCAGGAAATTTGAAACCCAGCACATACCAAATTTACTTACTCCTCGGAGTACCACTGAAGAAAGAGGGTTTCTAATATCATTATTCCGCATCGGTCTGTATGTCTTCGTTTCTAAGAATCATCTATTCCCAACACCGACGCATAGCGCGGATTTACTTGTTAGGTCCCTGTCGTGTGTTGATAGCTACGTAGTCACATATATGAAATGAGTGAGTAAATGAAGCACACGATCTAAAATAGTTGGTCATTCCTCCATACTAATAATATAACGCAATACATATATACCACCAATCCCAAATCTATTTAATAAGGAACGACCGATCATAACTTTGATACTTGAGAATTCAACAACCCCTCATACTGCTCGCAATCATTGATCACACAGCTTATCAACAAAAGAGAACGATACTTTTCATTGGTTTCTGCAATGTCAATTACCCATACAGAGGATTACAAGCTCAATACACAACACAGAATGCCCTTCTCTCACTAATCTAATCAGCAGTACCATTCATTTTGTTCACAGCCCGAGAGTTCCGACGAGAGTTCGCATTGAAATTGATGATATCATTTCGATGATAAAAGTATTCTCGCTATAATCTTTAGACGTTACCAGCACCAACATCATCATTCCATCACCGTCATCAGAACTCTCAATAGCAAACGAAATCCTAGATGTTAAGATGAGAGACCCGGTTGATTGCCCAAAAATACAGCAGTGTGTGCGACTATACAAAAACCAGTACGTACTCGGATACCTGGAATCCAAAGACCTTAGATCGAGAAAACGGCCAGAAGGGGGTTTGGTTCGGGAACAAGATGAAGAGGTTTCGAAAGGGAATCGGACCCAACACGGGTAGTGCCTTACGATTAGAGATTCGAGAATGTGTCCTCATTACACATTACATGGGGGAAATTTAATAAGAGAAGAGAGATAGAATTTTCAGCATCATGTATGCATTCATGAACAAAACAGCTATCACATGACTCTATGTCCATTTCCCCTTCTTTAGCAAAACGACACTTCAAAAACAAGTACCGAGAAGAAAATCTATTTATTCTCCGATCCTTTCCAGTCCTCGTTCAACAAGTCAACGAATAGATATTCAATAGTGGATATTGTTCCGTGTGCATCATCTATCATCCGACTGCTCCGCCCACTGACATCTATCAATCTGTACGTACCAATAGGTACCCAACCTCACAATCTGATGTATGAATGACAGAGCAGATTACATACTTAAATCCTTCATGGTTGTCGGATGATAGTCGGGTGTACATGTATGGATAATCATGTTTATAGTGTGAAGGTTCAAGGTTGATGTTGTTGCGTTCCAGGGTGTGAAGTTGATTCCACGGAAAGATATTGTAAGGTGTGGAAATAGAATAGCTTAGCTTTACCATGGAGGATTTATAACTGGATGCTGATTTGGATGTTAACAGTCACATCTACTATCGACTGAGTGCTATTGTGAGATGCATTCTCCGGAGTCCGTAGGTACTCTTCACAATCATTCATATCCTCCGTATCCGAACGTTTGATACTGAAGCCGTGGATATGCTCCATTGATGGACTGTACCGAGCGACATTTGATGAGACTCCGCTAGCCTCATTTCTCTCCTGGCTAAAGAATCATCCACTAGAACAAAAACATGCTACGAGTCTACGAACCTCACCGTTCACCGGACACCACAGAATTTCCGCACCCGTCCAAACAATTCACGCATCAAATGCCCAATTATGGAACTCAAATTTGTAGAATAATGACACCCATCAATCAAAACAAAAGACTCTACTCCATAGAAAAGATAAGAACCTCAAACTCGTAAGCATCTGAGAACTTCCAATTACCAATCAGACACACTCATCTACCCGCCCTGCGAAACTTCGCCTCCTCAATCTGCACCAAAGATCCAAACTCCACCCAAAAATCATTTGTAAGCAGTGAAGTTGTCATATCACGTGAAATGTCGTGCTTTTTGTTAACAATGACACAAGTGAAAGCAATCGGCAGGGGTGATCAAAGCCATCCGATTACCGAGAAGATGATTTGAGGATCGACTTTTCGATATGTTAGCATGAGACGCTTTCTATTAATGAAGAATCAACAAGTGAGTGAACATCGAAAGATCGATACAATGAAGGAAACAGGTTTATTTTAAATAGAAATAAGAAACCCGAATGAGTTTAAATTTGTAAAAATAAGTAAAAAATTGCCACCATAAAATCTGACTTCAAAAAACTTCAATTAACAATTCGATATACAAAGGACCCGAGATTCAGGAACCAAAGAGGAATAAAGAACCTTCTCTTGCATCACAGCCTCTTAAAACTCTGCCTCATTCAGTAAAGTCAGGAAAGTGGTTCACCAAATAAAACAAGCATAAAAAAATGATAAGACCTCAATCCTTACTAGCGTCTATCACGCCATATCAAATTCTCAGAATAAGGCAAAATAAGGCAGCCAGGTCTTTCTCAAGCCTCGATGACAGCACTTCCTGCCCACGGAGTTATGGCACGGTAATGCGGTAATGAAAGAATGATTACTTGTCTTTGCCTGAAAAAGTGTAAGTCCGTCTTTGTAAGAATAACGAAATGTCGTGCTTTTGTGTGATGATCCACTTTTCTTTTGTAATTGTCGATGGGAGAGATATACCAAGAGAGTATATACCAGCACTCGAATCATCTTTCCCACTTCACTTCCACTTCAACTTCTTTTGCATTGTGTGATCATACTCTCTACCTCTTTATAATACCTATACACAACATAACATCATCTCAAATCATATCTCTTTATCATATTCTCTTGCAACTCGTGAAACTAGATTGGATCACACCATCGACAAGATAATTGTGCCATTTATTATCGCTGGACTTTTGGCATCACTTTCCTCTTTCAACTTCCAACTTGTCATCAACCTCATATAACTTTTACTCTTTTCTCTAAAAAGCAATATCTTAAGGAAAAGTTTGTTTACTTGTATTCGACTTGCTATTTCAAACCAATAAAAAGTTTTCTTCTTTCGCTCAACCGAAAAATATATCAACATGGGACTCCACCGCGAATCATCTGCCTCGAATCTCGAGTCGGGATATGCTTCTGGAGCATCATCTCAGAGCTCTCTTCCTCAAATTGTCCTCACCAAGCCTCACCTCAAGTTTATCAATGCATCACTCAACAATCTTCAGCCTATGGACATTCTCCGATGGGCTAAAATAACCTTCCCAAACCTCTACCAAACCACTGCTTTTGGAATAACAGGTCTTGTCACACTTGATATGTTAAGTAAGCTCCAAAAGGAAACACCAGAGCTACCAAGCATCGATGCTATCTTCCTTGATACCCTGTATCACTTCAACGAAACACTCGAATTGGTTGAGAAGACCAAGAGCAGATATCCAAATGTAAACTTGCATGTTTATAAGCCAGAAGGTTGCCAAACTGTTGGAGATTTTGAGGGAAAGCATGGCAAGGAACTATGGAAGACCAACGCCGATTTGTATGATTGGGTTGCCAAGGTCGAGCCCGCTCAACGAGCATACAATGAGTTGGATGTTGCTGCAGTCTTGACTGGCAGAAGAAGAAGTCAAGGTGCCAAGAGAGAGAGCTTGGACATCGTCGAGGTGGACGAAGCTGGCTTGATCAAGATCAACCCTTTGGCAGGGTGGAGCTTCAAGGAGGTACAAAACTATATCAAGGAGAACGATGTTCCATACAACGACTTGTTGGATCGCGGATACAAGAGTGTTGGAGATTGGCATTCAACTGAGCCAGTAAAGGAAGGAGAGGACGAACGTGCTGGAAGATGGAAGGGCACTGAGAAGACCGAGTGCGGAATTCACAACAAACGATCGAAGTATGCACAATACTTGTACGAAATGGAACAAAAGAAACAACAAGAGGAACTGTCCGCAGCATTGGAAAAGGTTCAGATTAGGGAGGAGAAGATTGAAGATATCACTGTCGGAGTTTAAAATTGCCAGCACTCGCTGTTTTGCTCGACACAGTTTCTTTTCTTTGCAATCTTCTCGTTCCAATATAGCACACCTTCCATGGTCGGAGTTTAGGGGGTACATCAGTGGGATAAACACATGATTATGAGCATTGGAGTTGCAGGCGTTAATAAAGGGAAATCATATGATACCTTACCCTGGTTATTGTCTTGTTTAGATCTTGGAGGCTCGTTCTTTTGATGCTCGTCATCAAAGGTTTCAGTCTCGCTATTGTATATAGCGAAAACGACTTAATGAAAGTTACATTAATGCAAGTCAGACTCTTATTGTGATATCGTTTTGACGTGTTCTGAAGTGAAAGATTAAAGTCGAACCCATCGCCAACAAATTCTGGTGTTGCTGTGACACATGGTCTTGTCACAGTCATCCTCGTTGGATAACACTAGGTAGTCGTTATCTTGAAATGTAGCAAAAAATCATCTTGTTGTGTTCCAACGAGGTCTAGAAAACAGCCAGAGGCAAGGTTGAGGACAATCTTCTCCGAGACGAATTCCAAGAGGTCGAATGTATGAGCTGACAAGAATTCCGATTACCAGGTGAGACAAGTATGAGCCTGTGTGCGCAATACAATTCGTATCTCACCATCACAATAGATCTAGAAGCTTATGAAACGAAGCCACTATCTGTGCTGATATTAGCGGTGAGTGGAATGTGGAGGATCTGATTGTTAAATTCTAGCGGGCGACTATGGTGCTCCAAATATTGATATCATCAAGTTAAAGACGCCGGGGCTTCAAATGGGGACGAGGTGAGGCTTGTTATCGCCCGAAGTAGTAGACTGGGGTAGCGTTCGGCATTTTGGTAAGAGTGATAAAAATTGAGTTTGCGGTGTTCGGCTCGGGCCACTGCGGGGAAAGCGGCCGATGTCGCCACTTACGCGGGGATCTTAATGCCAAGGACAATGACGACACTGCCTTTGATGCTCCTGCTACAGGAATTCTAGAACGCATGGAAAAGAAAACATGGCATTTAGTTCCTTCATACGTATCTACCTCGTAACTACCTAGTAGGCAGTAATTCTTCTTCTCAACAATTCTTTCGTTCATTCTTCTTCTTTTACAACCTCATATTCCTGTGATTGTACCCAAGAATTACTACACAATCAAAATCGAGAATACAACCAAAATGTCAAGCTCAATGGAAAAAGCAGGCGCCAAAGCCAAGGAGGTTGCGTAGGTTCATTCGGAGCATTACCCCTCTGTTCGCAGTACTAATAGATTTCGAACAACAGAAAGGAAGACTTCGATAAAGCAAAGGAGTTGGCACGTTCAGCAGCAATCAGTGGAGCTTATCTCTACCCCATTAAAGTCCGTTGAGTTCTAAATCATATCTTTTTCACTGTTCTATCGCATCACAAGCTAACCATTTCCTCACACAGGGAATTTTCTACTTCCTCTCGCATCGCACATTATGGAAACCCCTCTTGTCGAAACTTGTACCCACTCTGTCTCTATCCGTCATCGTCGTAGTTGTGATGTTCATGTTTACCTATCTACCACAACTTGCCGTTCTCATTTTCACCGATGGACCTCTCGCTGCAGTCTCTGCAGTCCTCTTGACCCTCTCTGAATCTAGCACAATTGTCACTATGCTTTCCAAGAATTTCCTCATTGCAGATGCTCTTGTTGATACATTTGATGGAGTGATGGTGGCAAAAGGTCAATCAGAAGTTGTACAAGGTGGACGAGAGATCAAATCAGGAAAATTCGGTGACCCAATGAGAAAATTAGGTAAAGTTGTTAAAGGATATGGTCAAAAGTATAGCTTTGGAGGCTTGGTAAGATATTTGATGTATCTGCCATTGAATCTCATTCCAGTTGTTGGTACGGTAATCTTTGTTGGTCTGCAGGGACGACAGAGAGGTGAAGGGGTTCATTCGAGAGTATATTTCAATACCATTCTTTGACAAATACACTCAAGCTGACAGAATTATTAGTATTTCCAATTGAAGGGATGGTCTAATGCACAAAAAGAAGCATGGCTTAAGGAGCACTCTGGGGCATACACATCGTGAGTTTTTTCTTCTTATGTCGTCTCTCTTATTTTTTTTACAATGCCCCTCGTCTTTGCAGAGCTCAAACGCACGGCTTTTGAGATCTGCATTGCATTTGTACCTGGCAAGTGCAGTGCTCCTATCAGTTTCCGCCCTGCTTCCTGCACACATCAGCTCTACAAATTCGTCTTTGACAGGTATCACAAAGCTAGATGACACCACTTTTTGTCAAGATCTACCAGTACAGATTTTATCTAACTAACTTTCGTGTAGATTCGGAACCGTCGCAACTCTTCTTGAACTTGTCCCTATTGCATCCATTCTCTTCTCATTCACCAACACTGGTAATTACCCCCGCTTTTAGCTCTACTCCTAGACCAATGCTAATGATCTCTCAGTTGGTGCAGCATTGTGGGCTGCCGATATCGAAGGTAATGGCACGACTATGACTGAAATTTCTTCGCCTCAGGCGCAAAAGGAAGCTTTAAGAGCCGAGTAAGGCCCTTTCTGCAGCCTCCCGAAATTGGCTACAAACGGTGCAACTTTCGGCCAGTCTTCGTACTCCTTCGTTAATTTGCTTGGAAGATCCCCTGTAGCACAACTGTCCATCTGTGCATGAATATCCTTGCGGTTTTTGGTTGTCGGTAACCATTCGTTTGTCTTCCTGTCGATCTTTGACGGTGAATATGGCGTTGGTAAATTGGTAGCGATGGAGTGGAAATCAGGTATGACTTGGCGAAAACCAAAGGATGTTAATTATTAATGATTTGCGTTGTTCTTTTCAATAATTTGAAATGAACAGATGATTTCACAACGTGCATTATCTACTGCAAATTTTGCAATATGAAGCCACATTGTTATGTACGTGAATGCTATTTACACTGAGAAGTACTTGTGAGCCAAATATTCCGTGAGCGGATTCCCTGGACATGATGCACAGCTAGAGATTGCATCCTGGAATCCCTAGATCCTCGTCTGTCGCGTAAAAATCTTTTGTACTCTTGCAAAATTCGAGTCACTTGGAATCCGGAGAACAACAATTGATCAGTACTATAGAGTTGTTGGTAGATTGCATTGCATCTGCGGTCAACGGTGCGTTTGTTAATTCTGTTGATGGGTGTCTTGACCAAGATATGCAACAAGGCTGGTTGTTAGTAATACGAGCTGTTTCTTGGAAACGGGCTTCTGAAGCTTAAGTCAACTTGACTTCTTTGGGTATTTACAGCTGGAGGTTCAAATAAATGATATTGGAATTGGATGAAAGAGAGATTTTCACATGCAGGAACAAGCTCATCAAGTCACGGAAAGGTGCATCCACGCTCGTTGCGTTGTCCAACATAATGGACGGGAATGCAATGTAGCCTACCGCCGTGTAACTTCAATCTAAGGGTCCGTTCCTAGTCGTTTTAATTTGAGAGACAATTTTATATTGCAATCTTTGAGAAAGTGGAAGAGTTTCCGCCCCAAATCTCTCAAGGTGATTGATAACCCGGGAACTTGCTATATGGTATGGTCACAACATTTGATGAAACGTAAGGGAGGAGATAAGTGGGTGATAAGTCTGGTTTTGAGGTGGATAGCAGGTGAGCTGAGTATCTCCGAATGTCTTCGATGATGGGAAAATACATGGCAATGATAGAGCCTTCATGCAGACTTCCTCCTTCATGGTATGCTTTGATAGGAAATTGAATGGTTTTAATGTTAAGAATTCAAGTGCTAGTATGGATGAAACACTTTGAGGGAAAGACATGACGTCTTAATTGGAGGAAGATATGGAAGAAACAAATAAATGATGGATACTTGCTGCCTCTTGTCGCTTGCCTGCTTGCCCATGTACTATGTGCTTACTTTACCTGGTCGCCTCGTACCGTTGACCTTGGTCCTTTCTTTTCCTGGAGACGGGAAGTGGATCGAGTCGAATCGGAATCAAGGAGTTGCCGAGAATAGTTCACTGGGCATCTACTGTCTATCTAGGTAGGTACGAGGGAGGGAGGTATCTTTTTTATTGCATCATTGCATTCAAATTGAAACCTTTCTACTGTTAGGTACCGTGATCGATAAGGCATTCTAATCTTTTCACCTTTCCCCTTGGTACGCTTGTCCTTTTTCTCTTCTTCTCTCATCCCATCTTTCCATATATTTCAACCTTTCACTTCCCATGCTACAACTTCTTTTTCGTCTCATCTTATCCTCTCTTCTTTCCTCTCATGAACTCTCCTCCCATCCCATCTTCCTCGAGATTCAGTTGCTTTGAATTGATGCTCCGGTCTTCAATACTTCAATTTATTCGAGAAACATCCTATAATACGGATTAAGTTGTCCTACTCATCTCATCACAATCTCCTTTAATATCCGCTTTTGCGAAATCACACTCGTTTGTCCTCCTCATCAAAAAATCAAGTGATAGATCGATCTCAGGTATGAATTGTCTTCCCATATCTTTTTCCTACTTCACAGAAGTTTTCCTATACCTTTGGAATCGATTGATTCTTTTTGGGTTGTCACTAATTATATCTCATCCACATAGATCAAGATGAAAATCAATATTACTGCTAGACTTGCGTCCGGCGCGTTTCTTCTCGCTTTGGTTCCTGCAACTCAAGCTCTGCCACAATGGCTTCAACCACACCTTCGTAATGCCAATGCGGACGTGTTTGCTCCTCGGGATTATACAATCTATGAGAGAGCAGAGGGTATTCAAGATCGCTATACACCATATGGATATGGACCTCAGCCTACCTTCACCATAAACCCAGTCACAACCGCTGATCCTGAGGAGACTTCATCATCCAGTACTAAAATTGGTCAGTTCGTTGATTTTTTTTTTCAATCTTGATTAATCACACACTAATTGAACTAGGATCTGCTACGGCTTCTGTCTCTGGTTCTTCTGTTAGCGGTACACTTTCCACTGGTACTTCTCCTGTTAGTTTCTCTACTGGTTTAGGATCGGCTCAACCTTCTGTTGTTACTTCTTCTACTGTTGCATACTCTACAATCACGGTTTCAGTTTCTGCTACAGAAGGTTCTTCCACGGATTCGGCTTCGGCTTCGGCTTCAAGCTATGATCCAGGAACTTCTGCTTCACCAACTGGTGCCATATCATCGGAATATAGTGGAATTTCACCAACAATACCTGGAGCAACAGATACTACTCCTTCGGAGTCTAGTGGTAGTTCGTCAATAACATCGGCAGGTACATACGAACCATCTGGTATCACTTCATCAGAGTATTCTTCTAACACTCCAAGTGCAACCGCTACTGATCACTGCAATCATGACAATTGTCTCCGCGAATTCATTCGATCATCCTCCATTGTTGCTCCATTTTGTGCTACATATACTTTGTCAGAAAACACTGCTACTGCAGACCTTCCAACATATGTTTCTCAATGTCATGACTCACCCTCAAGGATATCATCTGCATGTTCATGTTTGAATACTGGCGCCGCCACTACTCCAGGAAATGTCGGTAGCAGCACATCTTCGACACAAGCAGGAACAGAAAGCACATCCCCAACAAGTGGTGCACCAACTTCTTCTGGAGCTCAAAGTTCTTCATATTCATTGCCTACCGGTCCAGAATCTTCTGCTAGCCAAAGTTCTTCTAACACTAGTTCTGGAAGCTTAGGTTCTACGGTGACTAACACTCAAACCTACACCGTCACACCTACCATCACTGTACCTTCCGGAAGCCAGACGGCCCAACCATCAGAAAGTGCGTCAGGTGGCGAGTCAACAACCACTTTGCCAGGGAGTGAGACGACGACTACTCCAGGTCCAATAGGAAGCGAAACAACAGCCTCCCCATCTGGTGGTGAGACAACAACTCCTTCTGCCGGCACCACTACTATATCTGGAGATATAACCCCAAGTGAAAGCTCAAGTAATCCCAGCTATACTTCAGGAGTATCGAATATAGAGTCTGGAACATCTGCGCCTGCGACCTCTACCGGTCCACCTTTCACGCCTGGAAATTCATCCACTCCTGTCGGTCCAATTAGCTCATCAGCATATGTTGCTGCTAGTTCGTCATCTGCAGGACCATACACAAATACTTCAGCTTCAGCAACCAGTCCTCTAACTACTGGAATTTCATCAATCACTCCATCTGGCGGTATCTCGGTATCAGCACCTGGAAGCTCAAATGGTGGTAGTGCCCCTTATAAAAATTCGACATCGGGATCATCTCCAACAACTACAATCGCTTCTTCGGGAACTGCACCATTTACCAATCCTTATCAAACTGTAACTGGCCTTTCTAGTGGAAGTATTTCTGACGGCATTTCAAGCTCGAGTGCATCGGCACCTTTGTACACAAATTCGACCACTTTAGCCAGCTCAACTTACCTTGGTACTGCGCCATTATCTTCTGGCTCATCGGAAAGCAGTGTTTTGTCAACAGGAGCTCCATCATCCACTCCTCTATACCCCCTCAACTCGACATCCACCTCAAGTGGAGTTGCTGGACCTACAAGATCAGGTGTATCGGGTGGCATTAGCTCTAGCTCGTCTGCCAGTGCCCCTTACCCAACGGGTAATAATGCTTCAATGACTACTGGTCCAACTGGTACAGAGTCTGCAACGACATCCTCTTTATTAGGAACTGGTACCTCGGGGTCTTCTGCCTCTGGTATCATTAGCTCTTCTGCTGGATCTGTTCCATACTATCCTTATGGAAACAGTACTTCGTACACAAATGGTCCAACTGGATCTGGATCAGGAATAGGAAGTCCAAGCTCTGTATCAGGAGGTGTCCAATCAAGTACCAGTATTTCAAGCTCAGGGAGCCATCCATCTTCTTCTAATGTATCTGGTGGAATCACTTCGTCACTGCTATCCTCTGCTCCATATCCAATCTCCAACAGTACAGCAACAGCAGGACCCACCAATCCAGGTACCTCAGAATCTGGTGGTCTCACTTCTGTTACTTCTGCGCCACTTGGCACTGGAAGCTCACCATCATCAAGCGTCTCAGGTGGCATTAGCACTTCGCCGGCATCTTCCCAACCATACCAACCTTATCCCTATGGAAATTATACCCTTCCAACACTAGGCACAGGTACAGGAGGTGCAGCTACATCCACACCTTTCGGGTCAGGAAGTTCACCATCAAGCACCGGTACAGCGCCTCTAGGAACAGGAAGTTCAAGCGCTGATTCAGGATCTTCATCAGTTCCATACCCAACTCCTTCCAATGGAACTTTGACTAGTGGACCGACCGCACCGACAGGAACCTCACCAATATCTAGCGGTAATTCTGGCCAATCGTCATCAGTTCCATATCCAACCTCTTCAAACGGAACCTCAACTGCTGGACCAACTGGACCATCAGGAACTTCACCAGTCTCAAGCTCATACCAATCATCTGTCTCTGTTGGTCCTTCCAGTGTTGGTAATGCAACTTCGGTAAATCCAACCTCATCTGCCAGTACTTACGATCCTAATGGATCTACTTCCAGTCAAGTGTCCGCAGGAATCTCGTTATCGTCGTATTCAGCAACAGGTCCATTTAATACCAGCATTGGAGCTTCCCCTACTACGTCTTTATCCTCAGGTAAGCAAAATAAATGAAGATCCAAATATTTTGAAATTTTGCTAATATTATTTTGAAGGTGACTCTGGTACGTCGATCACGTTGGTAACGTCAACACCATCCACATTTGCAACATCGGTTTCGACTGGCACATATGCTGGTACCAATTCTTCTTCCATCATATCATCGGCTTTAACTTCTGACTCTGGTACTTCAATCTCATCCACAGAGTCTTCAAGTGCTGCACCTTCTACAAACGCTCCTATTCCAACCACTACCTATTCTCCACCACCAACTTATGCTCCGCCACCTCCACCATACTACGCACCACCTCCACCAAATTATTATGGATGGGGATCATGGGGCAGAAAGCATCAGAATGGGGATGCCGGTAGCGTTCGTCGTTGGTTCTGGTAAGAATCGGTTGCAACACATCGAGCGTCAAGCTCAAACACAAATTTTCGCTTCTAGACTTGCTTTCTTTTTGACATTTTGATTGTATTTTCAATCGAAACACATGTTTTCCTTCACCATCTTAATTCTCTTTCTTTATTACAAACTTTTTCTTCTATGTATGGATGAAGGAAGGCAAGATTCAAAATGACTATCATGTCAATCAATGCATATCAGCTGCATTTACTGTATGGTGCTTTTATGACCCAAACATAAATGAGCTATGAAAGAAGTTAGTTATTTGGCAAGGTTGTATGAAATAGCTACATATAGATAAAGAAATAACATATCAGATCAACGTTCTCATCTTGTTGATGTTTGGTATGTGAGATATAGGTTCTAATGAAGTGAACTATCGGCTCAATAGATGATGAAATATGTTTTACTTTTGTGTGATACCAACAGTGCTTGATTGCTTTTCAAAATCTCAGGGAACCCGTTTCCCTCGTTTTAACTTTTTGCAAATTGAATAAATACTTGTATATAAGTGAGCCATAATTTTATTTCATTCCACTTTCTAACGAAGCGCCGTGACCGCTGTAGTCGGATAAAGCATTGAGAAGAACCAAGACTGAAAATTCGTGATGATCACATATATATCTGGTAGTCTCAAGATAGTCAGAAGGATAGTCAGGTACATTGGGCTCATTGGGTTGCATTTCATCGGAATGACCTCGGATCAGATAGATTTAAAAGTTAGTGCTCGAAATACAAAAACACTAAATACCCCTCCGCACAAATGAAAGGCTGCTTTCACCCCCACTTCTCTAATCAATCCCTCGCAGAACGAACTAAATTGATTCTTGACTACAACTTCTCAACTAAGGGTCAAATATTTACCTAGGTAGAGGAAATATATTCAAGGCATCTAAAAATTTAAGCAAGATGGCTGAAAATGAAGCATCAGCAAGAACTGGACGTCCCAGCTTAGGCAATAATGTGCGCAGTCGTTCCTATCTCCAAGAACATCAACAATATCGTCCTCCACAACAAGATGGTCATCACGGTATAGATAGCATAGTTGAAGGTATTCAAGGTAGCGCGCTTTCATCCCCTACCAAATCTTTCACTCAATTCAATGGAGTTCCTTCTCCACAACATCCTCCAAAGATTGTCGACAGCGGGCTCAATCATACCTTGTCACACGCAAACTGTCAACCTGCGCCAAATACAACTTCCGACCGAATGATCGCAACTCTTATTTACAAAACCAAATCTCCCCGTGTTTCAGTCACCGACTATCCACCCGATCGTTCTCCTTCACCAGCTTCCTCTCCTTCCAGATCCTCGGTGACATCTACTTCCCGCGCCATCCCGCCAAATCTTGCTCCTGTCCGCACACTCTCCAACTTCCCACTCGAGCCTCCACCACCCGACCCAGAACCGCTCGATCATCTCTACGGAAGCTATATCTCGCAGCTTTGTCTCACATCCTTCCTCCACCTCATTCAATCCCTGCCGAGCCGATCCGGTTCCGATTTCCTCTCTTCGTCCCATCGCTGTCTCGACAACCCCGAACATCCATCCATAGTCGAACTCACATTCTCCCCCATTCCCGATCCTACATATCTTGACCTCCAAGATTTGCGCAAACACGAACTTCTCTATCGCTTTGAGCGCGAGTGGAATGTCGATGTGATTCTTCAACATGATACCATCCTCCGACGTTATCCACGTCTTGTGGTTTTCGATATGGATTCTACACTTATCGAACAAGAAGTGATTGATTTGATCGCCGCTTCGATCGGAGTCGAAGATGCCGTATCTGCCATTACCGCACGCGCGATGAATGGCGAATTGGATTTCTCGGCCTCGCTTCGTGAACGCGCAAAGTTGTTGAGAGGAGTCGATGCAGATATCTTTACGAAATTGAGAAGTGTTATTACACCCACCAAAGGAGCCGCGGAACTCATTCGCGCATTGAAGAGGATGGGTGTCAAAACTGCAGTGTTGTCTGGAGGCTTCATCCCCTTGACACAATGGCTCGCCGATCACTTGGGAATCGATTACGCCTTTGCAAATACGCTCGAATCGGATCCTAGCACCAACCAATTGACAGGTGAAGTTCTCGGTTCCATTGTCAATGCGGAAAAGAAACGCGATTTGCTACTGGAGATTGCGAAGAAGGAAAATGTGGCTCTGGATCAGGTTGTCGCGATGGGCGATGGCGCAAATGATTTGTTGATGATGGGAGTTGCGGGTTTGGGCGTTGCGTGGAATGCTAAACCCGTGGTGCAGATGGAGGCGCAGGCTAGGTTGAATGGTGAAAGCATGTTGGATCTTTTGCATATCTTTGGGTTGACGGCTGAGGAGATTAAGATTTTGGTTTCGTAGAGAAGAGGTATATTAGGAAGAAAGGAAGGAAACGCCTACCTACTTATTGAACGCAGAATGGGTGGATTGGAGTAGATGTCGATTTGATGAAGCTTGCAGGATGAGCTGTGTGAGAAAGGAGAAGTAGTGGATTTGCATATCCTTTTTTTTCTTTTTCAATCTACGAATTGGGTATCGTTTAGCATAAGGGAGCACGAAATACAGATATCATGAGTGACGAATACTAGATTACCAAATAGCTTTGTCTTTCTTTTTCCTCTTATTTTCCTTGTATCAAGGATCCAATTGTAATTGAAAATGCAATGCGACAATACGATAACTACTGTGCGTATGAGGAATTCGGAGCCAGGTTCTGATTGCAAAGTTTCAGTATTGCTATGGTGATGATGATGATGATGATGATGGTGAAAAATATGTATTAAACTCGACTACACCCAACCCCGAATTATATAAATCCAAATTCCAATTCAATTCCAAAACCAACTCCAAATCTAACCCGAGAACCGAAAACCGAAAACCGGAAGCCAATTCAAATCAAATTCCAGATCCGCTCACTCACTGACTCACTTGACTGACTACCCTCCGTAGCCCAGATACCTAGATACCTATCTGTGTAGACCAATCCAGCCATGCATACCTAGGTAGATACGTAACCAACCAAAAAGGAATCGCGCGATTAAAAACTATTAGATAGTGATGAATATTTACAATTATTATCTCTCTCTCTCTCTCTCTCTCTTTCTCCTGTTACGCTGTTTCGTTTCTGTTATCTTCTCCTTCTGTATTATCCAAGCTATGACAATTTTTCCTCTCTCTACAGTCAGCACCTAATTAATTCTATCATTCAATTTCATTCTTCCTTCTCTCCACTTCTCTCTTCCCTTCCTCTCTCCTCACAAAATCCCAAACTCCCTCTCCCACTCCCTCCTACTCCTCTCCTCCTCCTCCCTCCTCGCCCTCTCGCCCTTCTCCAACGTCTCCAATTCGGGTAGAATCAATTTCTTCAACAGCGTTTCCGTTTCCGAGGGCGAGGGCGAGGGTAAGGGTTGGGTGAGATACGCTGCTTGAGGGATTTGGGTGGAGAGTCTACCTCGCTCTCCTCTTTCCCACTCTTGCAGATGTCGCGGGGGTTGCGGGTTGGAATTTGAATTTGAGCGGGAGAGGGGGAGGGAGTGGGGGAAGGCAGGGAGTTCGGCGGGGTAGAAGGGAGGGGATTGGTGGTTGGAGGAGTGGGGGGCGGTGGTGAAGGTGAAGGAGTGTTTGGGGTTGGAGGTGGGGTCGACGGCGGAGATGGGCGCGTGTTGGTGTTGATGTTGGTTGTAGGTTGAGGGGCCGAAGACGGGTGCGAGAGAGGGAATGGGGTGGCTGGTGAGCGGATGACTGGTGAGGGGATGGCTGGTAATGGGGACATTGTGGATGCTGCGAGCGGCGGATGTAGTCATGGGAACATTGTGGATGCTACGCGCTGTGTCGTCTAGAGAGTGGTAAGATGAGCCAGTATTGATTCGTTGGAGAGTGGGCGTTGAAAGGGATTGTTCGAATTGCGCAAATTGAGAGTAAGGGTTGTTAGGATTGTGGTTTCCGTTGAAGCGAGAATGCTGGTAAGGTGGTGAAGGGGCTCTAGCAAGGGGAGTTGGAATCGTGGGAGTAGATAAAGGACGTTCGCGATCTTCTGGCAGTGGTGGGAATTGGCTGTAGACGTTGTGATTACTGGTTGAGGAGCCTGAGGGCTGACTGTGAGGTGACTCGCCGCGTGAAAAGTCTAATGACATGCGTGGATCGCGCGAGTAGTCTAGCGAGGTACGAGGTGGGAAGATAGTGCCAAAAGAACCTTCAGAGTGAGACCATGGGTTATTGGGGCTGGATGGGAGCGTACTATTATTGAGACTCGATCGAGGTATAGCAGTTGGTAGAGAAGACATTGAGGGTGTCACATCCCGATTGGCAAACTTAAATCCTTTCCAAGTCTGATTATCAATTTCATGAGGTAAGATTCTCATCTCATGTTTATCCTCTGCTTCTGGTGATAAATCGAGAGGTGGAGTGGGAACAGGGTCTAGAGGAATATCCTGAGCTTTGCCTTTGTTCTTCTGCGAGTACGATGACGATGGTAACTGTTCCCGGGGTAGTTCCTCTCGTTGATGGCTGGGAGGCTTTCTTTCCATCCACCAAAGACCTCTATCACTCTTTTGCTTTGCAAGAGGTGCATTTGAGTTTATTTCTCCTTCCTTCTGCTGATCAACGTGTGATGACTTCTGTGCCTTGCCATTCGTTTCCTTTATCTCTTTCGACGGAGCATCATCAATTTTTGAAACTGAATGTTGTCTGTGATGTCCTTTTTCCAGTTTTTCCTTCACTGGAGATTCATCACGACTTGGGAGTGGCTCTTGATTTGTGCTCTCATTCATCTTCGATTTCTCGTGCCTTTGACCTTTTGCGCTTTTATGGCTCTTATGACTTTTGTGAGACTCCGTTCGCTTAAGTCCCTCAAGCTCTGGAGCTATCAGTTTTCTGATTGCGTCATCGACTGCCGAAAGTGCTCTTTCGCCATCCACCAATACTTCTTTGCCATCATGCTTTTGCTCCAAGAGAATGGGAGCATTGGGTTCCATATCACGACCGGAAGATACTTTTGCGGCATCCTTATCGTCTCCATCTCGTTTAGGCTTGTCCTTTTCCTCGTCTTTGCGTTTCTTTTCTTTTTGACCTTTCCTCAATTTCCTCAAGGCTTCCATCTCCTCTTCCTCCTCCTCCTTCTTCTTCAATGCCTCAGCTTCCTTTTTGATAGCATCCTCAACCGCTTCGAATGCTTTCTTTGTGCTGCTTTTACCTTTGCCATGCTTGACTGATTCGGTCCTCCCTACACTCTTTTCATCACTGTCCCAAGGAACTCTGCCAGAACCATCCGAATTCTTTCTTGTCATCTCTGGCTCCTTCTTCAACTCCTCCATTTCAGGTATGATTAATTTCTTGATAGCCTCTTCAACTGCAGCCAGTGCCTTTTTGTCTCCAACCTTTTCGTCTCTACGCTTTGATTGTGGACTTCCTACCGAGCTTATTTTCCCAGGGGTCTTTGGTTCCCAATCGCCATCTCTTTCAGTTATATGAGAAAGTCTGTTAGGAATATGTTCCACTGGTCGCTCTGGGCGTTCTGGGCGTCTTGTGGCTTGATGAGTTTCCATCTCCTCTTGTAACTTTTCATATGTTTTGAGTGCTTGTAATGTCAATGGACCGACATCTGTTCGTGAAGCGAGATCAAGACTTTTACGAGGTGGAGTAACTTGTTCTGGTAAAACACGCTCAACGACTTCTTGCGGTATACCCTTCTCCAAGACCTGTAAAGTGAAGGGGTCCACATCTTTGACCTTTGTAGGCTCAGGGCTAGTAGGCTCTAATGTGGTTTCGGCGTTAGGTCTTGGCAGAGCATGCTCTGCCAACTTTTGTTGCATTCCGCGTCTCTCCCAGTCAAGCAGAGCCGTAGGCTCCGGCTCTTTTGACTTTATGGGCTCGTGTTTACTCTGAGATCTGTACGATTTGGGTTCAAGCGTGATTTGATCCGGATCAAGAACTTTCTCGGGTAGCTTGTTTTCCTTCTCTCTGTTGTCTTGAGGTAATGCGACATCTCCATCAATCATACTTTGCCGTGGAAGATTCCAAGGAGCATCGTCTCCTGCGTCAAGAAATTCTTGTAGAAAATCTACCGACCCACGATCTCCCCTGCCAAATCCATCTTCATCACCGCCACTCAAGGCACTTTCGTATTCCTCGTGGGTCGACTCGTCTATTTCATCACTCGCAACAACGCTCTCTGGCGGCGATAGCACTCCGCTAGCGATAGATTTGAATGAAGCAATGCTCTTCTCATCTTTGAATTTTGAATGAGACGCATTGGATTTCGGCTTGACTAATCCTGGCGGCGGGCGAGGTATGGAAACATCAAAAGGTATATCACCATTTTCGTGGTGGATGGGTGATGTTGGGTCAACAGAGTGGTGAGGATGAGTTTCGTGAGGACGTTTCGTTGAATTTTCCGGTCTCGCAATGTGAGTTGCCTCGAGCTCTTGATATTGTCGCTCATGAAGTAGATCTGGAGGCCCTCTTGCTCTCGAACCCTCTCGTCCTCTAGGCGTTTGGGACGTCTCAGATTTGACGCCTCCCACCCAAGCAGCTACATCTCCAACAATACGTCCTCTATCATCCTTCTCATCTGTCTCACCCATGGGAATAACTTGAATTCCACCTATAGTGATTGGTTGCCCATCTCTAAGCAATCTCGTCCTTTCTCTTTCTTCGTGCTCATACCGACCCAGCTCCTCCCAGGCTCTTCTCGCTTCCTCCTTTATAACCTGACTTTCCTTCTTGACTTCCTTCATATCCCTTTCCATAAGCTCTCTATATGTGTTTCTCTCTTGCAAAAACTCAAGTTCTTTCTTTTGGGCGTCATCACGCGCATCTTGCACCTTTGCTTCGAGACGAACTTTCTCCTTTTGAAAATGGGTCTCCCAATCTTTCATTGTTTGTTGTTTTTGTTTGTGGAGAGCTTGTTCAATTTGTTGAATGAGGGGTAGCGGGGGTGGGATTTGAAGCGTATCGGAATCCGGTCTCCCTCGAAATTCCTTCGGTTGCTGCTGTTTCGAAACTTCCACGCCCAACTTTTCAGATATTTGGGATAGAAGATTTCTAGATTCTACAAATGCCACGAAAGATACTGCTAAGTTTTCTGGCAGCATGTCCCAAATTAACACTGGCAAAGAGAGAAGGATAATGGTGGAATGGCTCGCAAATACTCCCTCCACAAGGGCAAATTGTGCCAACGCTGGGAATTGCTTAATCCATTTGTGCCAAGCCTCCACATCCACTAATTGATTTTCTTCTAATGCAATGGATATGAGCACGTGTGGTACCGCTAACTTTCCCTCAGGTGTCAGTCCATGCAAATTCTCTGGAGAGTAAATATCTTCCGCAATTCCTGGAGATAAGGTACCAGCCCAGCTATTGCC